CCCCTAGTAAGGCATCATGACTATCCAATTCTCTAGAAGAATTAATTAATCCATTATTACCTTTTACGAGCATGGTTACTATACAATTCGGTCCTCATATCAACTTATCACGGCGTGATCTCGAACTTGGTTATTAGTCTTGTTCGATTATGATCACATAATTTTTTTTATTTTCAAATGTTTTAGCTCTTAGAGTAAACCAACTATGCTCTATTGGTGTACTCCTACCGTGGCTACTGATTTCTTAAGTAAATATTTATCGAAGTGCAATGTGATAACTCCTATAGCATACATGGAATGACATGTCCTATCTTAGTTATACACCTATCTCTATTGGATTCCTAGTACACCTAATGAATAGCTCATATGCGACCCATTAATGGGTTCATCAAAATGAGTGTCAAAGTGCATAAGTCCTTCAATGAGATAACCATGATGACTTCAAGTCAAATGACCATTTGTACCCATCTCGTATGAGTTTCCCACGAGACTAAAACCAAATGGGTTCTCATGGCGAGTCAAGTCCGGTGATATGTTCTTTAACATAAATCACCTAAGTGCTTGCTTTGGCATCACCACACCAATAGGTGTGAGATCTTCTACTCGCTATTACATAGTATGAGCATAACACTCATAAGTCTATTTGTATTTTGTCAATGTCCATTCTTGAAAATGCTACGACTTGGGATATTTAATATATCATTTATGTGCATTAGTGTTTGTCTCACATCTTTCGATCAATCACTATTGTAAAATGCATATCATAAGGACTTCTATTTAATTCTACTGAATTTATCAACATGTAAACATAAAAATTAATAGAGAAGACTTCTTTATTATTATTAAAATAAATGATGCAATATTACACTAACACAAGCCCATCCAAACTTGATTGGATCTTGGGCACTAACATTGACAAAAACTTATGAATAATGTTTTAAGTCATAGAAACATATTTTATGCTATGAGTTTTCAATAGTGATCATAATTACTTTAAAGAAAGGGATTTTCATGACTGCGAGGTTTCTTTGAGGATGAGCTTCATGGGTTTTTCATATAGTAATGGTAATGGTTCGGAGTCGGGCCGGTGTAAACGTGCACTTTTAGAGGCTCGGTAGGACATGTCCGTAGACGAGTTCGATTCATCAAACATATATTATAGAAACCTTGAAGTACCAAAATGAGACATGTCTAAAGATAGAAAAATAATTTTCGAATTGCTTTATGAAACATATTACGAAAAGAGGAAAAAGGATTTATTATGCACATGTCATTGTTTCATACCTACATACACATATATATGCATTACATGCATAAGTTAACTTATTAAGCTGTAGCTCATTGATGTGTTTGTGGTGTAGCCAATACGAGTAAGGATGGTCTTCATCACTTTTAAGTCGACTACCAAGGAGTCAATCCGACACATATACATTGGTCGTGGTTGACGTATGGATTTTGTACACACGAGTATATGGCGTCTCCGGCTCCCTTGTCGATTATCTAAAAGGCGTGGCTAGGTGCATCACAATTTAAAGATCGAAGTCTCAAATTTAATCCCATACACATTCACAATGTACTGAATATCATTAAAAAATTTATAAAATAATATAAGTATTATTACAAGCAAAAGTGAATCCTATAGTTCAAGTGTCACACATGAGCCTTTTTCTAGGAGGAACCAGCGGTTTCATTATCAACATTATTATCGCATTTACTCGTCACGACATGAAATAAATACATGGTGAGTCGAAGCTCGGTAAGTAGGGTGATGCACGTGATATGCAATGATTTTCCGACTTCCTCACTTTGACTCATCAAATTTTAATTCTGGATACCCTCTTTATGAGCAAGTCTACTTTATTGGTGATTTCGGAATCACCTAATGCTAACAACAAAATTATCCCTCGTTGTAGTCACCGTTAGTGGGAATCCATCGCCCAACAGGTGCGATCACACGGATTAGAGCACGAACACGACTTGATCGTTAATACCCGTTTAACCCGGTAGGTTACCAAACCTATCCAATTCCATCCAATTCGATTATCAAACCTCATCATTTCGACTCTATGGTTTTTCTCAATTTAATCCATTCTCATATGCATATGATGCATGTGATGTTGTAGTTCTTACATTTAACAAATTACGGGTACCAACCTCTATTATTAAATCATTCTCGTGACTCGATCCGTATTCGGGATTTCATATGTTTTTCATATATCTTTCATGATATCCCTCAAGAAAATACCACATCCACCCATTGGTATGAATCAATTCATAAGTTTACTTCATACGTTCGTGTCTTTCCCCTCGTACACGTAGTAAGTCTAACTTCGATTTCAATGTACTACTTAGTCTACATGACCTTCAATTCTAAGGATTCATTGTGATATACTAAAGATTAAATTTCTTTTTTATCCGAACTTTAATCTTAGTAGTTAAATTTTAGCCTTTAATGGATCTAGGTCTTAATCCTAGTTTTTCTTGAATTCTCACCTTCTAATACTTCATTTTATCCTATTAGGGTGCAAATAAATCATTACTCAAGAATTTGGGTGGTTAGAACTCAATTTCTAAAAATTTGGGTTTAGGTCAAGTGTTTTCTAATCTATACTTGAAAGTTTCATTTTTCTTGAAATCTAACTTTTTTATACTTCAATTTATACTTATTTAGATACATTTGAACCATTAATTCTCAAGTTGGATGAATGGAACTCAAATCCCTAATTTTTTGGGTCTAGGCCGAATGTGTCCATTAAGGGGCAAAGGATTTTCTTTTATTTCTATGTAATTTCTTCTCAACCTAACTCACTAAGTTATACTTCAATGGGTTCCAATGGAGTTCTAGATCTTTGGATCCATTAAAATAAATCCAAACTTGGCCTTTTTAGTAACTAGGCCAAATGGGTCCATTAAGGATGTCCAAGCCCATTTTGGTTTAACTAAACCCATCCATACACATTTCCAAGCCCATGTTATTGTAACCAAACCCAGCCACACACATTGATACATGCATAACACATAGATCACATAGATCCCTACATATATTAACCTTCCATCATCACATCACAATAACCATACTTGATCCATTACAAAACATCAAAACATAACCTCAACACAAGCAACCATAACAACATATTACATGACTTGAAACATAACTCATAAATGGAACATTTAAAATAGAACTTAGAGCATAAAGAAAGCTAAAATGAAACCTAATTACAATGATATATGTTTGCTTAAGATTCTCTAGACTTTTCCTTCTTTTTCTCCTTTCTTTATTTCCTTCCTTTTTTGTTCTTTCTTTTCTCTCTTTCTTTTCCTCACAATATCGTTTCTCTCCTCTCTTGGAAGCTATGGTTTTTGTCAAGAAAATGGCAAGCTTTTAAGCTTTCTTCCATTTTTATATCACACCTTTTTTCCTTCATTTACTAGTCTTCCAAGTGTCAAAATGTTGGGGTAAATTAAGGTCAAATGATGAGACTAAATGGGAGGCAAGTTGTCAATTTAAAAATCCAAGTGGGTTAGGTGTCACACTTTTAGAAAAAGTGATAGATTTGATGTCAAATCAACAACTAAATATGGGAATTAAAAAGTTAACTAAACTAACCAACTTCCTTACCCCATTTGATTCCTCAAAAATTCGGCCATGCACCTTGTTTGGGACATGTTTTTCACTTGCATGGTCTTTTAAATATAAGTTACTTGGAAAAATAAATAATAACTAACTAAATTCCTAAAAAGTTATTCCGATAAACACTTCTATAAACCTTAGATATTCTAGCACCACAAAATATAAAAGAAATGGCACGTAAATTACACTCACATAACTATGGATATTCTAGGAGATATTTTTCCCGAGAATCCACATTTGCGACATGCTTTGAAATAAAAAATATTTTTTTTCAATCCCATATCTCCTCACCGAACATGCATATGACACATAAATCATAATTTAGACTCGGTAGATGCGAGTAGAATTATTGCGAGTACGTATAGATAGTTTAAAGAGTTTACGGGGGTTACACTATAGCTCTCACTATTACGGGTATTTTAGCTTACTTTATAGTTATGCCCGTGTTCTATTATGTGCTACTTAAAGCAATGACACGAGTAGATTAAAAAGGGATAGGGAACCGGATGTAAATAGTAAATAAGTCATTTTTGTAGTTGATAGACAATAAATAAATAAAATATATTATTATTTTGAAGAAAAAAAAATTCATGTCCATTCTTTATTTTTATTCCCACATCTTATATGGGAATGAAGTTGTGTGTAAATTTTCATTTTTATTCATATTTCATTTCTTTTAACCACAAGGGGCATTTTTTTTTTATTATTACTATTATTTATTTGGTATGATATATACTTTTTTTGTGATATTTTTTGTCCAGTGAGATGTTTTAATATAGAACTTTTGTTTTTATATATAGTTATGAATTTTAAATTTCTTAAAATATTTTTTTATAATACTTAATCTTTGTTTTTTAAACAGTTTTTCTAATATTTTGAATAATTACATAAAAAAAATTGGGAACAAATATTGACATTTTACTCAACAAATCCTAGCATTTTTTTATCATGGTATGCATTTAATTTATCTATAAAAAATTAACTAAGTAATTTAATTAATTATGTATTAATTTGTAGTGTTTATTGTTGTTTTTGCATTGATCTAAGATCTATAATAATTAAATGGGATTTTTATTCCCACATCTTATATGGGAATAAAGTCGTGTGTCAATTTTCATGGATTTTTATTCTCATATTTTATATAAGAATAAAGTTCGTGTGTAAATTTTCATTTTCATTCTCACTCTTCATTCACATTCTCACTTCATTCTTTTTAACCAAACAGGTTATAAGTGGGAATAAAACTTTTATTTTTATTCCTATCATTCTATTACTTATTAACAAACAACAAGTAAGAGTTGTAAGGTTTTGAGTTTTTGGCATGAGAAGTAAAGTGGTTGCTGCCAATCCCTTGGGTATTTGACCACCTCTAAAGAAATCCCTTGCTATCGCAGTTACATTTATTTTGATAAATATCCCAACCGCCTTGAAGGAAATGACCTGTGAATCCATCACCACGAGGGACACTTACAGGGTCCAAAGCTCTTACTGCTTCCCAAATCTCCTCTTCCGTTGGAAGTCCTAGCAAACTCGCGTTATCCTCTGCTGATATCTTTTTCTCAATTCCTATGAATAAATAATCATGCAAAATAGTAGAGAAGGAGGAAAAGAGCTCATTGAAATACATCTCTGTAGCATCGCCAATCATGGTTATATCATCCATCAACATTCCATCAGATTGTTTCAGTCTGGATGAAGCCGGTATGGAAAAATGTTGTATTTCTATCCCCATCCTTAACGCATTTTACCCTCGCTTTTTGTTGTAGAATTTCAGCAACCCACTTTATCATTTGATTCAAACGGATTTTAGCTTCTCTAAGAGCAACTTTTGTTTGATTATTCCAATGCTGACTGAGATCATTTTCCAATCTTAATACGTCATCTTGTATTGCCCCCGTATTTTTATTGATGTGATAATAAACATCCCAGTTCCATGACTTTAATTCTCGTCATAAATTTTGCAATTTTTTATGAAGACCCTGATAATCCTTATTTCACTGTGTTTGCACAAAATCGATGAAATTTGGATGATCTAGCCATATACGCTAGAAATTAAAGTTTGATTTACCCACCCGAGGTTGAGAAAACTTCAAAAGTAATGGGCAATGATCCAAATTATTTCTGGCCAGACGATCTACCTGAAGAGAGAGAAAGGAAGCTTTGAATCGACCACCAACTAAAAATCTGTCTAAGCATTGCCAAATACAAGATGACACCAACTAGTTGTTACACCATGTGAACCTGCTGTCCCTATAACCAGCATCATCCACCCCAATCATGGCACAACAATCATTAAAATCCAAAATTCCTTGACTATCAACATCTCTCCCCCTCCTCCCCTTCCTCTTTAAGAGATGTCTGCAAAGATGTTGAAGTCTCCTCCAATTAACCACGGATCCTGAATTCTACCAGACATACGGCTTAAATCACCCAATAAAGTTTGTCTTTTGTTTTGTTGCATTTCACATATACAAAAGAACAAACAGCATCGGCCAGCCGCAACAATCCACCTGAACTGTAATATGTTGAGAGCTAGCTTGTAAATAATTAATCTCTACCTCATCCTTCCAAAATATCCAGATATGGTTATTGGCTGGATTCTGACGCATATAAGAAAGAAAAATGAATTTGTTTGGCAATTTTGTCTATAGAACTTCCTTCTAATTTTGGTTCTAAGATGACTACAATAATAAGATGATGTTGAGATTTAAGCATTTTAAGATAGTCTATAGCGGTTTTATTACCTATCCCACGAGCATTCCATGTGAGAATTGACATTACCGATATTTTGCTGAATGTTGAGATTGTGCTTCAGTAGCTGCCCTCGTCTTCATCTTACGAGCTGGTTTACTAGCTCATTCTATTTTTCTTTGCCATCTTCATAAACGTTTTGTGGAGTGCTTGCACCTCTTCCATGTCTGTTTCCCAATCCTCAGTCTGTGATATTGATCTTCTACGGACTACCCTGTCTGGTTCCTACTTCTGAATTTGGTATCCATTTGAAAAAGAACCCCGACAATGATGTTGCTCTGTTGTATCAAAGAGAGTCTCTTCATCCATATTCATAAAGGCACTGAACTTGTTACATAGCTCTATATCTTCTTCCACACATTCGTTTGCTTTTTCCCCATCAGCTTGTGTGTTACTAGGCTCTTGCTCATGGCTGCAGTAGTCAGTGTTCATATTTAGATCAGTCTGCCCAGGTAGCGTCTCTTCTGCTATAACCGCTTTGGAATAGTCTTCTGCCATATTAAGAGGTTTCGGCAACTCAGTAATTGTTGTCCCCATCTGCTCAATCAACTCATCTACTTGTATTTCTATCGTAGAAATCATAACCTCGATTGTGCCAGCACTTGTCATTAAATTAGTAGTCTGAGTTATAGTAGCTGTCACCAAATCAGAGTTTTTCCTTTCTGTTAAAATTTTTTTTCTTTGGAACAATAGGAACCCACACATCCTGACTAGCGCCTGGCTGCATAATTCTTTTCCCTCTATCTCTTCCAATATTTATATTATTCTCTGTCCTTCGCGAACCATTATCAGACCACTGGATGAAAGACGAGCTTGTTTGAGGATGGTAAGACTTGTCTGCTATATTCATATACTATCACAATGCCCCCTCTGAGTTTGATCTGACTCAATGATTACTGGCAGTGAATCCTTCTGACCCGACGATACCATTTTTTCCAATTGCATAGTGTTTATCACATGCTGCGATTGTCTTGTCGTCTTACGATAATTTCCAACCAGGTGACCAATCAAGCCATATCCTTCACAAAAAGAAGCATTACCTTCATATTCTAATTTTTTTACCAAAAACCTTGCTCTTTTGTTGTTCCTGTCCAAATCCCACACCGCTACCCGTGGACAATCCATGGTAAAAGAAAAATCTGACGTCCAGCGAAATATTTGATCCATACAATTTTAAATCTGATGGTCTTCCCAGGACAATATTGCTGAAATCATATTTGCTTCATTGGCAAGATGCATCATCACGTGCCTGGGATCAAGCAAACCAATAATCGGTTCACTGAGTAAATTCCATAAACGTCTGATATGGCTTTGGATATCATTGATAGGAGGTCTGACATTAGAGAATTTCAAAATAATAGTATTTTGAAATTGTTTTGATGCCGCCTCTATCTCCATAGAAGAAAAGAGACATGCTGGTTCTCTATTAATGTTAGCTTGTGGTCTAGGGGCTAAAGGATAATCTGTCAATGGAGGCCTGGAACGCAACTGTGCTGTATTCAGTTTCTGTGTAACAATGGCTGCATAATTTCCATGGTTTAGATAATGGGCGACTTTAGGTGAATAGTGAAGTTGATTGTAAAATTACATGAAGATACTATATTTGATTGTTGATTCAATTAATGGCATAACAATTATGAAATTGTCGAACTTTTCTGTAATTTTTTATTCTTTCCATAATTTTACAATATCTTCCCATGAGTCTAGCAATTGATTTTGTAATTCTTTCAACGTATTCTATAGCATAATAATAATTAAAAAAAAAAATAAACCATTTCATTCAAAAGGATCTTTTTTCATTCTATAACTTACTTATTTCTTTAGAATTACGAGCCCATAATTTCTCCAATATTTTCTGTAATTCTTTCAATTCACTTCTGATTCCTTCAACCCATTTTACATCTATTAGCTCCAAATAATGGGCTTGACTTTAGCAATGGAGGTTCAGCCTCAACACCTAAGCAGCTTTATTGTTGCTCCATATAAATTTTGCATTGTAGCATGCCATTAGGATGAAACTAATGCCCATTTTTCTTTTTTGGGTTAAAAAAGCCCAGTTATGAAAAGGCCATTAAATTCTGGGGTAACGTGGCAACTGTGAGAAATTTATAGAGCTTGGAGATTATTATAACTCAGAACAGTTAACTAATTTGGGGCCCCACAGAAACCTAATGAAAGGTTTCTAGCTCTAACCTGGCGTAGTAATCACTAGAAAGGACTAGCTAGTTGCCGCTAGTTGCTCGCGCTACACTGCCGACGTAGTAGAGCAAAATTATTTTAAAATTTTAAAATTTTTAATTATAATTTTTATTCAATTAATTTTTCTAATGTTTTTTAATAAATTTTTTCTTTAAAAAAACATAAATCATTCTTCTTTATGAATTGATTTTAACTAAAATATTAATCAAGAATTAAAAAAATTAAAAATATATTTTTCATAATATTATATTACAAAAAAATAAAATTATAAATAACGGATAGAATTTGATAAAAATTAACAAATGAAAAAAAATTATTTAATACTAATGAGAAGATTAATTTTTGAAATTATATGCGTAATGCTGTAGGTAGATAAAACAAAATCATTTCAAATTTTATAATTTTTTCATTAATTTTTGTGTTTTCATAAAATTTTTAAAAATTTTAAGAATTCATGATATATATTATATCAATTTATTTTCTTAAAAAGAAAAAGCAAACATGTTTAAAGATTTTATTCTAAAATTCAAACATAGAGTAAAATAAATTATATTTATCAATAAATAAAATTATATATAAAAATATTAATTGGATGAGAATTTATATATATATAGTCAGTTTGTCTAGAAAAAAATGACGATTAATTTTTAAAAATTTTAGCACCTAATTAAATAAAAAAAGAACATAAATTGATGAAAAAAATGGCATGTAGTGCATGAGCTAGGGATTAAAATTTTAATTTTAAAATGTTAGGGATCAAAATGAAATAATTTAAAAAATTACAAAAACATACCTAAGAGTGAATAATACATTATGAGGGTAACACCCAATTAAAAAAAAAAAAAAAGAACATAAAATGATTGGAAAAAAGCAAAAGAAAAAAAACCAAAGGAAAAAAAGAGCATGTAGTGCATCAATTGGGGATTAAAATTTGAAAGACAAAAACAAAAAAAATAAAAAAAAACAATACATTGTGAGGTGGTGAACATTATTGTCACTGTTTAAAAATCCTACCTCTTTTAGCTTATTAGTAATTATTTATAGACCATGGGTGTCAAAATTTTGCCAGGGCCCAGACAACGGTCTAACCTAAGAAGCCCTATTTTATTTTATTGTTATAACTAAGTTATGATATTTTATTGAAACTAATTAATTAATTATCATAATATATAAAATAATAAAATATATCCTTGACAAGCGTTGACCATCCTCAGTTCATTAGCTTTTTTTTTTCCGTGTGACTAACTTCTCTTTTATTTTATTTTTTTTTATATTTATTAGAAAAAGTATAAATAATAAAGAAATTGGAAAAGAATAGATCGATGAAGGAAATAAGTTATGAAAAAAAAATTAGGAATATAATATTTGAATGTATAGCTTATGAAACTATAAAGACTAAAGCCATCTAATGGGCCTAAATTATTATTATTATTATTATTATTATTATTCCCTTGCTGGGCTAACTAACATAAACTAAAGACATCTAAAAACTGTCTTTCAAAATGTAATAGATCTGACTCTGAATTAAGCCTTAAATTGATGTCAGATGGTTCGAAACCAAAATCAACCGCAAGTGGAAATCTTCCAGGGTTATGCAAACAAGAAATTTAATGGCAAGCCCTCAGGTCAGACTCAAAATTTTTATATTGCTACGCTTGTGGGAAATTCCCTGGAATTTCCTCCTTATTGGGAGGTCAACCACTTCGGCAGCACCGGCACGTAATTATGGCCTCAAGGTGCGAGTCACGATGTGGAAAAGCAATGGCAACCGCGAAAGAGAGGGCACGTGATCGATCGAATGGAAAATTTTGCCCACCGTTTTAAGTAATTAATGAACAATTGAGCAAGAAGCACCTTCGATTCAACTATGAGCCAAGTTGCAACTAAAAATGTGATTTTTCCTTAAAAGCTTAAAATTTAGATGAGTAAATGGGTATATAAACAAAATAAACTCTTCGCAGTTTTTTGAGTATGCTAGATGTTAAAGCATCCGATCAGATTTTTTTCTTTTCCGTATTTTATGACCGGAGGAGGTATGTAATTATTCGGGGTCTTCTAGATTTAAAGATTGTAGAAGTTTACCTCCATTATGCGAGAAATTTTATAATACAACGAGAGTAATTAGTAATATGTACGGTAATTACTTTATGAGTCCACTTTGAAGAGAGAGATAGACATACAAAAGAAAGAGAGAAACAAGAGAAAGAAAATAAAAAATTTTGAACGGACGTGGAAATCTTCTTAAGACTTTTAATGGGTATAGATGTAATTTTTATCTTTTTTATGTGTCTATCTCCTCCTCAAAGTGGATCCACGTAAGTAACTATTGTATACGTCACTAATTACTCCCGATGTATTATAAAATTTCTCTCGTTATGTAGCATGGTATAGAGTTGTCCAAAACTCGTTAGACGTTTGACTTGAGAAAAACTAGGGATATGAATACTAATCTTCTTAAAGCTAAAGAGAAAATAAGAGAGGAAGTGTGTATACAACAATCATTGTGTTGCCCATCGAAGATTAAAGTGAATTAAGCTTTATTATTTTCGACCCAATTGTGTTTTTTAATTAGCTCATATGAAGTCGGCAATCATGCAAATGAACCAACCTAACCTACCAAATTAGGAATGAGACAACATGTCTTCCACATGCGCCGGATAATGTCGGACATTTATGTTGAAAATTAACTGCATATCGTAGGAAAAAATATGCATGACAACCTGTAATTTAAGTCACGGACAGCTGTTCAAGCCGAAAAAGAAAGCATTATAATTTATGAAGAGGAAGAAGGAAAGAAGAGAGTCAAGACAATGATTTTTTTTTTTTTTTTTTTGTTAATCATGCAGTGGGGAAGGAGTAAGGGTAGGTTCAAACCTGGATCTTGCTTTACCACCGCAGCTATCGTAAAAAAAAAAAAAAAAAAAAAAAAAAAAAAAGGGATGGATGAGCAATATTAAGAGTTATCATATGGTTATGGTGTCAGCGCTTTGCATTCGAATTTTATTATAGTAAACTCTGGATATGATTTATTTAATAAACGGATGCAGATTTTACAATTATTGATCAGAATTTTAACAGCTTCCGTTTGGATCAGACATGGATACCTATCGGATTTATTATTCTTTTTTTTTTCAGAAAAATAAAAAAAAATAAAAGTGTTGCCTATTTTTTAAATCAAGTTTCAATATAAAATAAATTTCAACTATTACATGTATAAAAAAATATATGTTAATACATCAATTTTTTTAAAAAGAGAACTCAAATGTCTAACCATTGAAAAGAACATAATTAAATAATTTTGATAAAAAATTATATTAAATGTCAAAATTAATTTAAATTAGACAAAAATATGACAATATATATTTTGTTTTTGCAAATTGCAATACCAAACTTAATTTGAAATATTAGTTTTTTTTTTTTTTTTTTTTTTTTTTTTACGGTGGAATTTAGACAAAAAAAAATATGGCAATATATATTTTGTTTTTACAAATTGCAATATCAAACTTAATTTGAAATATTAGTTTTTTTTTATTGTAGAATACGCTTGGGTTAGTTTATTTATCAATCCAATCGAAACTAAATTTCTTTCTGAGTCATTTTAAAAACATATCTGCATCAGATGCTTTCAAATAAATTTGATAAATTCTTTTTATATTTCTTAAAATTTGAATCCAAAAAAAAAAAAAAAAAAGAGTGCGAGGCTGACCACTTAAAGTTAACCCAAAAAATTAATATAAATGATCAATAAAACAAACATTATTTTATAGATAAGCGATGACAAATTCCTAGCCCTGACGAGGCTCCAGCAATATCTGTCTCGTTCCAAACGAATTTTATCTTTAGTGGATAAGAGAGGAGGATAGGTTTCCAATTCTGGGTCCTCTGACAAGAAACGTGATTTCCGTGGTTAATAAAACCTTTTTTTTTTTACTGTACTTGGTTAATAAAATACTGACTCCTTCAGTCCTATACTCCTATTATGATTTTCCAAAAACAATATTATTTTATTCCCTTTGGGAACCTCCGACGAAAGAAAAACAGTCGCTTATTTTATATAAATTAATTGATTTCTCTAAATGCACTTTTCAATTATTTCAGCATATATATATATATATATACAATCAGACTTATTCTTTACTCAAAATTTTAATTAATGTTTATAAGGATCAAGTATATTATTTAAATAAAAGTACAGATTAATCATTTCATGGTATATTTTACACACGCTATACCTTTTTTCTTTTTTTCTTTTTAATTAGATGGTATTCTGATACAAATTTTTAAAGTACAGCATCAAGATATTATACTTTCCAGGTCTAACGAAAACTAGATTATTTTACATCAAAACTAGAAAATTTTAACTTTGAAGTTTCAACCTCAATGATCATGGATGAAGAAAACCCCTTTAACTTTAAGCCTACTTTCACTTGTTTTAAAAATCTGTCATACAAATAAAGTTTGAATTTTCAATAAAAACCTTCCAGCTATGTTGGGATAAATTTGTCTCCGCCATTTTCCAACGATTATGGAACGAAGTTGAGTTGGATACGAAAAGGCAGGGAATTAATTAACTTGTTCCGAATCCCGTTAATTTTAAGGGTGGAAAAAAAGAAACTGACACAACCCCTGTGTCTGTGTGTGTGTGTGGATATATATATCCGAGAGGTGAGCTTATAAATGCTGAGGAAGTAAAAAAGCTTTAGGCAACTTTAGCACTGAAAAACTTTCCTGTACAGTTTCCGCTTCTATCGTCCACCGTTGACTCAACGGGCGCGAAAATTCTTTCCTCTCTATCACCTGCAAAGAAGTATCCCACGTTTAAATTTCTATCCCATTAATTTAGTCCACAGAAGAAACTGCAATGTGAGTAACACTTGAAGCTCCCAAGAAATCTCTCTTTCTCTAGGCTATCATCACACCCTCAACTCGCCAATATATAGATGTTCACTTTCCATATCGCATCTCTCTCCTAACACCAAAACACGATGGAGATCACAGTCATATCAGCCGAAGGACTCGAGAGCAAATCTTCAGGCCCTTTCTCTCACCGTCTCAGACCCTTCATCACCATAACCACATACCCACCAAACCCACAAAACAGTGATAAGAAGTGTCAAGTGTACAGAACAAGAGTTGATGATCAAGGAGGAGTAAATCCTACATGGGGTGATAAGTTTCATTTCCCCATAGACACTGCCTTCTTTCATAATCGGTATTCTTGTATTTATATCCAACTCTATACAAAAAGGCTCATTAAGGGCCAGATCCAACTGGGTTGGTGCCAGGTTCCAGTTACTGATCTTGGGTTTCTGCCTGAGGACTCAGTTAGGTACCTGAGTTACCGGATACGGGCTAGAGATGGCACAAGGGCTCCTGGAGTTATCAATCTTGCTATAAGGTTAACACGTTTTCAACAGGTTGCCGTTCACCCAGTTCCAAGAGCTTCCGACGAGTGCCAAACCGTGATTGGTATACCGCTGGCAATGTTTTCGCACATGAGCATTTGTCAATGAAAGTTAGATTTGTCTTGATCACATGATAGGTTTTTCTGGTTCGAGAGAGGTCTATGGGACTCACCGAACCTTAGCTTAGAGGTTGTATACTCAACTGCTTTCTCCAACGAAACAAGTTCAGTCCAGCGCCTGCGGTTTTTTCAGTTATCATGCAGGGAAAGTCGTGTCCTTCGTAAAAAGAACGAAGGGAGCGACATTTGGGCATGACAAGTTGAACCAATCAAAAGATTTGGATCTAATCTTTACCTGTTCCTGATCCAAAAGGGATTGGATTTTACTTTGCCCAAATTAGGACACTGGCTTGACTTTTTGTGACGAGAATAGAGAAATGGACAATCACTGTGGTGTTTGTTGAATCTTTTTATCTTGTGTCATTGTCGTTATAAACGAGTGGTTTTTCCTGGAATCTGTTGAGTTGACTCGGTTTACCAGGCTTGTGTGATTCATTTTACACTACCGTCCATTTCAATTTCCTTGTTTCCATTAAGCACCGAAAAACTAACACTAAGTACGCATAATGGAAATCGATGCTGATTAACACTTGTACCATTATGCCGTCATTGCTAAAACGATTAGAAAAATTAAGGTCAGAAAATGGCAGATAGTTCGTGCAATTTAATAAAGTACTTGAATTTTAAACCCAGCAAGTCTCTTATGAAAAAAATTGTGCTTTCATAGTTCAAAGCATTAAAACGATAGCTTTTTAATTCACACTTGATCAGCTGGAATCATCTCCATCTTTTGCACACGAACACGGAAGCTGCGGAGTTGGGACCATCTGACCGTCCAATATGAGCTGAGTCATCCACCCAAACCAATCAGGAAGCACCTTCCCTTCAAATATCAATCAGCTGGCCTACTTTTTTGACAATAACTGGAATCAAACGTACGTACCCAAGGATGAAGATAAACCAAGGATTGTGATAGGCTTAAATACGATCGTGAGCATGATCGTATGAGCAGGCAAACAGATCTAGATGACCAAAATTTAACTGTTCTCACTGTATGGTACAAAATTTAATTGTGACACAAACTAATCAGCAGTTGCAGACATAATATTTCCACGAAGTGCCTTCTGAAACCCTTACTAGCCTATCTAGAAGCAACTTAATTGACAATCGTTAAATCATAAAGTGCTAGCTTTAGCCGTGTGAACAATGCTGACACAAGCAAATAATCATGCAAATTCAGAGAATTTCCCACTTTTATATAATAGTTGTTGCCCTACGAAGGATTTACCCAAAGGGACACGAAAATCAAGATACAGGCATCTAAGAGTTTACTTGAATTGACTCAAAAAGGAAAGGAAAATCAAGATGCAGGCTAAACAACTTCGAACAGTTTACTTGCAGAGTCTCAAAAGCAAAAGAAATAACAAAAACCCTGAAGGGGGAAAGTGGCTAGGATTGCTCTGAACTACAAATGAGCGAATCCCTGTAAAGCCACTGAAGAAAGAAATTCCCATAACTATGGACAGCATTGAGTCGGTTTCTATGACTAAATATTTCCATCTTGCCTAGGAAGTGCATGGTTGTATGACACCCGGATCAAAGATGATTTACAGACAAAACTATCTGTAAATGGTGCAGTGTTTTCCAATGACTTACAAGGAAGCGATTGGCTTGCTGAAAATGCTTTTTTAATAACCCATCCTGCCTCCCAAAAAGACAAACGCAATTCATTCTGTTTAAGTCAACACAAGAACAAAGATGACCTTCGCAAAATACCAAGATGCAGCACTTTTACCGTGCCACATCCCTGATTTCAGATGTTGCTGCTTGAAGTTTCTTCCTTACCAATTTGAAACTGCTCTGGCCCTTTTTAGGCCAATGAAATGAGGTACTTCGCTTAAGAAGATTTGATACAAGAGGAGACCCAAAATTTGAATCCCTTGATGGAGTGTCATCATACTCTGCCAAAACAAAAACCAAAATCTTAAAACACTTAAATCGCATGTAATGGCAATACTACACTTAACCATGTTCTTAAGCTTATTCTGATTTGAGTGTCATAAAACTATTGCAGAATGCCATGAGTTGCAAGATAAAGAAGGTATTGTCATAGCAGGAACATGATCATAAGCCGAAAAACAGCCAAATTGGCAACACACAGATTTTGACTCCAATCCCAAGATATACAGAGAAAGGTAATGGAAAGCAAACAGAAAATTTGATAAGTTGTTTTAGTTGAATGACATTTAGAAAGCTACTTTTCTCTGTTCCTTCAAGCGAAGGGCACTATACCATTAAATAGCCAATAAAAGGAAATTCCATCCAACTATCAAGTAATGCCATCTCATGTTAGAAGCAGATGCACGAACTCAAGTGAGTTTTATGATTTCCCTAGCGATAAGGAACAAACATAAGTCCAGAGTTGAGAGGAAAACCTAACACACCATTATAATTTATTATGAGGGAAGACTGCTCTCCTTATCTACAGGCTGAATGATATTCTAAACCTTTATTTCTATCAGAGAGTAAGTAGTAGGAAGCAAAACTCGTTCAGGGTAGGGATTCATTTTGCCTGCCCCACAACTAGACCCCCGTCTCCCTAGATACACGTACAACCTTCTGGAAGTAAACAGAAATATTATCGCCAGAAGTAGGGCCATCAAGATTGCCTCTGTGTGTGTGTGTGTGTGTGTGAGAGAGAGAGAGAGAGAGGGGGAGGGGGGTGCGCATATACACACACACACAAGCAGGCAAGCGCATGAATTTGTTTCAACTGTTGAGGTTCGACAAGTTAGGATGGCTAATACAGGAAGACATGACAACCTGATGAGGACCCGGTAAGGATTTTAGATATTTTTATATTTGAAAGGAAATGGACGGGTATTGGCCATTTTATTATTGTAGCTAGTTTGGCTCGGGGTTTCTTTGGTACCATATATGAAGCAGCAAATATTTTATTTTATTTATTTATTTTGAATTGGCTTTGAACAAACTACACTTCCTCAACTCTCTCCCTGTCACTGGTGTCTTCTCATTTTCTCTCATAGTATGGCTGTTGCCATAGCAACATTTAAAAGGAAATACCAAATATCATACTGCAGTCGCATTGAAAGGAAGTGTACCTGAAGACATGGGAAGTTCATATTGCAGTTTTAAGAATTTAGAAGCTTCTCTATCTTTCTTGTGGCATAGCACTCGTACTAAAGTGTGGGCATCTTCCAAGCCCACATGACCCTGTTTATGAGACTCCACTCTCATTGATATGTGTTTGCTTGCATTCATCAACATGTGAATAACAGTTTCAGTCTGCCAAAAGAGAAATTGTGAAACTGCCACGTCCAACATTTAGTTTCGGGAACATATAACCTAATTATCAGCTCCAAACCTGAAGAGAAAATAAGCTAAGTGTTTGTTGTGCAAATTTTGCTTCTTGCTCAACTAAGGAACAGGGAAGGCCTTCTCCTTCAGCAACAAAGAATTCCTAGAGAGTAATAATTGATATTTCAGCAAGCAATGCAGGTAGATACAGCAAGTAGTTAAATTTCAAGCAACAGGGCAAAGCAAAGGTCATAATATTAAACGGGCCAAAATGAATTCACAGTCATAGTTGCATCAAATGTTTAATTATTTGGCCGAACTTCCTTCAAATTATCAATATGTGAATCAAGCACAATTTTCAATATGAATTTGGTGATAGGCAACTTTCTCTAACTTAAAATTTTGTTTGCTGCTTTGTATACTTAAGGTAAAAGTTAGTGATTGTTTTATACACCCAAAGTTTTGCCATGCAGAAAATGAAGAGAGAAAAACCTTCAATACATTAAGGTCATCTTCCATCATTGTGATATCTGATTCAGAAAACGCACGAGAAGGACCTCCATCAAGCAATACCCATACATAACCTTCCTGAAAGATGCACATGCACTTAAGCTACTAAGAGAAGGTAAATCAACAAGTTACATGTAAAATAGGAGCTTACCAATGATGCACGACAGATGCTTAAAACCACAAGGTCTCTGAGAGTATCATCAATCAAACCACATATATGATTAAGAACCTACATCAGTGCCACTTTGTTTGAGAGAATGACTTTCACTCTGAAACAAAACTCTATTATGAAGTTTCATAAAAGAATAACAGAGAAGTACATGCACACTCATGGACACGGCTCACACAATCAACATGAGGGCGGGAGAGAGAATGTGAATCAATATCTTACAGTATCAATATGAGGAAGAAAACTTTCCAAGCGAGAACTTCCAACATCTCCACGATATAAATGAAAGAGGAATCGATCTCTCAAATCCCAAAACACAACTCTTGCTCCTAGAAGTTGCATGTGACATTTAGAAATTAAGGTTACTTCTCATACTGCTTGAAATGCCAAGTAATGAGAACGAAATGGATGTAACAAGGTAGAATTAGAGATGCATATTGTTGACTATTGTATAGCATGCTACATAGCAATTGGGTTCCTCGTTTATATCCTAGAAAGTTCATCAAACTAAGAATAATAACAATCTGCAGTTAGCACCAGCAAATAATTGAGTAAGCAAGGATCGTAGATAACAGGACTTCAGAGAATATTAAGAGATAGGACTCCTTCAAAAAGAAAAGTAATAAAATCCAAAGATGAAAATAAGACAATGAATGGGGAATAGGTTTTGAAGTTGGTAAACTGCATATGAGGCCTTGTTTAGAAGCTGCATATGAGGCCTTGTTTAGAAGCATGGCCGAGTGCAAATGTCAGGCTTTAGTTGGGGATTTTGTTTGGGGGGGGGGGGGGGGGCGGCGGGCTGATTTTTTGATCTGACAGAAGTATGCAAAGGTCATCCTTTGTAATGCAAGAACCTCTCTGTAGAATTAAAGATAAGATTAAAGGTCCAGAGAAATATTTTCACAGCACAAACATGAGGCAAATAATAAGATCATCAAATAATGTTACCCTAGCATCTAATATCTTACATGGACAAATATTCCCTTCCATTTAACAATAAAGTCAGCAACTCAGCATTACTCAGAAAGCTTCAACTGAAATTTCTGAACATGAAGATGAAGTCCCATTGCATACTTTGTCTAGTCATATTGGATTTTCTGTCTGCCAGTTGCCCCAGTTACACATATGGTCTCATATCATACATAGATCAAAAGGAATTGGCGCATACAAAATGCCCCCAACCTTGGAAGGATGAGTACAGACTCATTCTGATCTACTATTTAATTTTAGCAAGTACATGCAGTTTACCCATACGCGTTCAAATTGCATTTCGGCTTATGTAAAAATGAGAAAGGTCAAAATAACAAAAGTCAGACAAGACATTATAGTTAGAATTAACATGATCAAACATAAACTTTGCTGAGTTAATATATTTCAAACCACCAAAATCATTTTAGCTGTCACCTTGCTTGCACTCTGGCAGTCATATAGCTGGTGGCAGAAAGAACTCTAATCCACTAATAGATGTCACAAATTATAAAAGATCCCAGCTCACCAGTAAAGTTGCAAAATTTTCTGATAGCATCTGTTGTGGTGTCCCTGATTATGTGACAAGTGGTGGCAAACAACGCATCAACTGCTTCACTACTTGCTAGCAAACTCCTATCTTCCAGGAGCTCTCCTTTTGCTGTATTAAACAAAGATACCCATAAGAGAGCACAATTTATATACATGCATGCATTTCCTACTTCTGTCCATTGTTTCTTCAAGTTTGAAGCTATAATAATTGCCATCACACCTGTTATAGCTACTATAGATCCTCAGCTACCGCTGCTACTGCAAATACTACTATGATCACTTTACTACTCATACCACTATAGTTACTGCTGCTGCTCTGCTGCTATATTCACCACTACTATGGTTATAGTTGCTACTAGTACCAATGTAATTACAGCTACTGCTGCTATAGTTACCACCACCATACTACTACTACTATTACTATGCAACTTAACTTACTTCGTCTTTGATCATGAGAAGGTCTAATGAGTCCCCATGATTTTCTAATTCCATCTTCTAGGATGCCAACTTGTTTCTGAATATACTGCATGATGAAACAAAATAATGCAAAGAAGTAAGTTCTATCAACTAATGCACCGAAAGTTTCTAGACCACATGAGTATAAATGTTTGTGTTTTATCATTTAAAAAAAAAAGGTAAAAGATTATGGACAAGAAAAATGTGTAACATGTCTCTTATATCGTGACAAACTTGTATATCACAGTGTCTAGAACAACTAAAGATATATATGGCTGCAATGTGAGCAGGTAGGCTTGACTGAACTTGGGCCCAAGCAAAGCAATTAGGCAAGCATGAATTGTTGGGCCTGAGTTGAAATTTCTTAACCCAAACTCAATCATGGTCAGGCTATGATTCAAGCCCATGCAATACATGCCCAACAGGTATGTAGCATGAAAATTTTCTTGTCGTTTTGAGTGTACAACTCCCCACATTGATTAGCCATAGTAAGAGTCAGGAAAAAAGACAATTACTGATCCTAACATTGTTTTCTGATTTGGAACTTATAGTCCCACTGGGAGATGAACTTAACTATGGAGGAATCTAAAGTGCGTTGAGTCAAACAAGACGAATTATAAAATATAATTTTACTGGTCATTTTCAGTCTCTTGACCCAATCACATCTAGCCTTAAATAACCTAGTGCAGCTTGAAATAATTAACATCAAGTTGAATCTAGAGCTTGAATGAAAATGAAAATGAAAATTGATATGTTAAAACATCCCAGGTTGAATCTTGGTTGACGTCAAACAAGCATAGGCTTATTAATAATCCTAATATCAGACCAGAAATTTATGAGTTTTCCTTTGATTATATGCTACAGTTCTCAGCATGTGTTTGAAAACGCGAAAAAAGTTATGGATTATGAGAATTTAAAATAAAACTAAGTAAGACCGTACATACAAAAGTATATTCATTAAACTAAAGAGAATGGATCGATAACAGAACAAACTAAATGATGGTACAAACTTATTGGACAAAAAAAATGTATAATTTTTCATAATAATTGCAAAAGAAATTGCATACAACAGCAAATGTAAATCAATCACTTGCTTCACATTAGTGTTGCCATGTGAATGTGAGGTTTGATTCCTTGTTCCAACACTCTCAATATAAAATGTTAGGAATTATTCATTACAGTTGATGCTTATTTGGGGTTCCAAACTTCTTCTGAAGTTTCATATTATGCATGCATACCAAAAGGTTTCAAAACATTGCTTTCTTGAATATCTATCCTCAACCTCCAAAAAGTCTCTTTCTTTTCTACGTGAAAAGAAAAGAGAGAAGAAATTGTAATATGTACCACTTCAACTCGGCATGCAAAGCAATAACAAAAAAGAGTATGTTTGACCATAATAAATCGAAAGAGACACTTACTTGCAGAGTGTTCAGCCTGATGCAGAGTTTTGGAATGGTCAATTCATTCAACTTACGAGCAACATTCTCATCCAAAAGTGTGCCATCAATCAAACTTCTCTTAATCATTGGAATAACAGTCTCACTATAGCGAGTTATAGGAGGAGCTAATGGATAGATATGATTTTTCTCAACTGCAACATTAGAGCTATTATAATCAATGTCTTTGCATATACCAGGATTTAAGATTCAATTCAAATCAATAGCAATCAGTAACGACTTCAATTAATGAGAAAATACCAGCTAAAGAAACCCCCCACCCCCCAAAAAAAAAAAAAATTATGCTTTGTGCTGGAATAGACATATTGTAGATCCAAAAATCACCTCCCCAGTCCCCACACCCCCAATAACAAAACACACATTTTTGGCTGAAAATAAATAAAGTGACTATAATACCTAACTGATTGAGCATTTTTGCCAAATAGGCATCCAGGCTGTGAAAAATTACAGATAGCAGGGCTTGTAAATGTGTAATATCCATAGGGAGATTGAAGCCAAATAATTGATCCACAGTCTGCAAGATAAATTAGATGCATGAAGAAAAACAAGACTCCAACCTATACTAGAAATATACATATTTAATAAATGAATAAGAAAATAAAAAGAACAAGAATGAATGTAGTTTTACAAGGACGTGAGGTATATCAAGGTCCTTTCTGGCAGTTTAAAGCTTCAATAAATAGGAAGGCATGATTGTTGCAGACGCATTTGTGTGGAAACAATACAGTAGAAGACACAAGCACATGGAGGAAAATTAATATAGAAAGAGTATCTATTTTATTTTATTTTTATAGCTACTTTTATTACTATTAATTAAGAATAAATCAGGACCAACTAATTAGGCACCTAACTGTTTGGTATTTTAATTAGACTTTCCATGTATTAGAGAGTCAGATTAGGCAATAGCTTTTTATGTTTGTATTCTGTTTTAAGACTTCTCTATTATATGAAGAGGAGATGGAAATTGAATAAGATGTTGAAAAGAATTATAACTAAAAGATTTAGAAGAGTTTGGGAGATCTCTTAAGGACAAACTTTCATTGTTACTGTCAAAATAGGTTTCTCTAGAAAAGGCAAAAATGAAAGCAAGGGAATAAGTGAGGATTTCCCTATACATCGACTCGTGACGTGATCCTTGTCTCAAGACCATAAAAAATTGGTATTAGAGCCAATTGTCATGGGTGATTACGAACATATGACAACTAACGTGTAAGATCTAGATCTTCGAATGATAGAATCCAATTAGCTAATTGGTCAGGAGTTACAGTAGTTGGGGGACGGTATCAAGGCAATTAAAAACAAGCTGGAATTGCAGTCTCTGGGCAAAGGTAAGTCTATTGTGGATTCGTAATATAGAAGAAGGCAACAGCACAAGGAGCGAAACTAAGATCTTGCAAGATATTTATTTATTGTTTTTATTTATTATTTATTAAGAATAAGTCAAATTAGGAAAAATATATGTCACAATTCATATGATATTTTAATTAAGACTTTCTATGTTAGTGTGAGTTTGTCTAGACAATAGCCTATTAGGTTTGTCTTTGTTTTTCAATCGCCTATGCTATATAAAGAGCGAGATGCTTTCCGAATAAAGTTATCGAATAAGTCAGTCAAGAAAAACCTAGGAGAGTTGGTGGTCTCTAAAACAAACCATTCATTATTATTTGTTCACAATAGGTTCTTCAAGAAAGGATCGAAACGTGAACAAAGGCAAGCTAATTGATTTCCTCGTTAATCAACCCTTAAAAAGATCCTTGCCGAGGGACTATAACAATTTAGTATCACAGCTGATAGTCATGGGTAATTACGAACAACTATCAGCCAAGGTACAAGAATTGGATCGCCACTTGCCGGACACGGTTGGTCGGGAATCGTGAGAACCGAAGGCCGGTATGAAGGCTATTAGAGGTTGCTAGAGTTGCAATCATTGGACAACGGCAAGGCAGCCGAAGGGGAGACGGGATTTGGAAGCAACAATGAACGGACATCACAACCAACGGTAGTGCCATCCGAGGGATGCACTAGCAGCACCATGGTTCCTAGATACTCCAAGTTAGATTTCCTTCTTCTTGTGGTATGGAGGACCCTTTGGGATGGCTTTATCGTTGCGAAGAATTCTTTTTGAACCAACAAACAAAAGAGGGAGACAAGGTGGGCTTAGCCGCTTTTCATATGAAGGGTGAGGCTTAATTGTGGTTCTTTTGGCTAGAACAAGAAGAGTCAAATATAACTTAAAATCAATTCAGAACCTATTGTTCTATGAGATTGGGCCCTCTATTGAGCAATAATCCGTTAAGAGAGCTAGCTAATCTAAAACAATTCGGCACGGTAAAGGAATATCAAAGTCAATTCCGGACGCTCCTAGCTAGGACTATTTACGGTAAGGGTGATCGGTAAGTTGACTTGTTTACCGCAAGACTTACGGATGCATTACGGATGAATGTTAAGATGCAACGACCCCCTAATCTGGTTACATCTATGAATTTGGCTCGGGCTTTCAACGGAAAGTTGCAACTCTCTAGTAGAATTGGAGTGAGAAGCACTCCGAACTAGTTTCCTCCAAAAATGACAAGTTTAGCGCCTCTACTCACTCGTCAACCATGAATTAAAACGGACGGGAGGAAGTTTGCCCACAGTTTCTAACACCGGAAGTACATCAACCATGATCTCCAAATCTCCCTCCACGCCATAAACGGGACTAGGAATGCACCTTCATGATGCTACAAAAGAATCGGTTACTTCCTTATAGGAAACTTATTCTCAATTTGCGCTTGAGGACAAGCTCAATGTCTAAGAGGGGTGTAACATTGTGGATTAGGAATATAGAAGAAGGCAGCAACATAAGGAGGGAAACTAAGATCTTGCGAGATATTCATTTATTGCTTTTATTTATTATTTATTAAAATTAGAAAAAAGATATAAGTCCTACTTGATGTGGTAATTTAATTAAGACTTTCTATATTGGTGTGAGTCCTGTCTAGACAATAGCCTATTAGGTTTGTCTTTATTTTTCAATTGCCTTTACTTTATCTAGAGCGAGATGCTTTACGAATGAAGAAAAACCTAAGAGTTAGTGGTCTCAAACAAATTATCCATTGTTATCTGTTCACAATAGGCTCTTCACAAAAGAATCGAAACATGAACAAAGGCAAACTAATTGATTTTCCCGTTAATCGACCCTTAACGAGATCCTTAACTTAGGACCATAACAAATGACCTAAGATTGTGAGATTGGATCCGATAGCAACAATCAACAAATAACCAAACCTCACGAGTTGTAATTCCTAGATACTACAAACTAGAGTTTCCATCCTACAATGGAGTAGAGGACCCGTTAGGATGGTCTGTATCAATGTGAGCAATTTTTCCTTCGTCAACGAATAAGGGAGGAGGAAAAAATGGGCTTGGGGCCTTTTCACATGGCAAGTGAGGCTTAGTTATAGTTTGTTCGCATGGAGCAAGAAGAATCGAGGCTCACATAGGAATAATTCAAGTCATGTCTTCTTCGGTTTGGACCTCCTTTGAGCACCAACCCACTAGGAGAATTGGCTAAACCTCAAACAAGTGGGGACATTGGAAGAGTATCATACTCAATTCCGGACGCTCCTAGCTAGGGCTACTTCGGTCAAGTATGATCAACAAGTCAATTTATTCACCGCATGACTCACGGAGGCACTAAGGATGGATTTAGAGATACGACGAGCCTACGAATTTGGTTACAGCCATGAATCTAGCTCGGGCCTTTAAACATAAATTGTAGCTCACTCATTAGGTAGGGGTGAGAGATTCTCTTCCCAATTGGTCCACAACCAAAACAGCTTGTCCCAACCCCTCCGATTCCAGATCAATTGCAATTCAAAACAGCTAAGGGGAAATTCGTCCATGGTTTCTAGTATTGGGAGTACATCATCGCCTTTGATGAAGAAGTTATCCAGAGCAAAAATGGCAAAGAGACGAGCAAAAAGACTTTGCTACAATTGTGATAAGTCATTTTCTGCATAGCACCAATGTAAACACCTTTTCTATTTGATGGTGGACTCAAAAGAGGAACCAGAACCACCACCCTAGAGGTGCAAGAGAGGTTTTGGTCTAATGGGCGAGTCTCGAGCTCGAGGATGCTACATGAGAGCTTGTCACGACCTTCTTGGAGTCTTATCCTAATTCCGAGCAAATTGTTTGGTATTTTATGTAGAAAATATGAAAGAAGAGAATAATAATTGTATTTGTCGTATTGGACTCAAAGTGTTACGATCTACATATATAGTAAATAAACTAGCCTATTTAAGAAGTATTAGCTGTACAAAGAGACGAAATCCCTAACTTAGGTAACATACAAACTTTCTATATTTACACCATAAATTACTCTATTCTTAATTTTTTCTTTTCAACACTCCCCCTCAAGTTAGCTTGTAAATGTCTTCCATGGCCAGCTTGCTTACAAGATAATCAAGTTGAGGTTTAGGCAATCCTTTGGTGAAAATATCAGCTACTCGTTAATCTATAGGTATGTAAGGAACACAGATTAAACAATTCTCAAGTTTTTCTTTGATAGAATGTCCGTCAACTTCAACATGCTTCATCCTATTATGAAGCACTAGATTCGAGCAACTAAAAGCGAAGCTTTATTGTCACAATACACTTTTATAGGAAGTAAAACCGAGAGCTGCAAATCTTCTAGCAATCTTTTAATCCATATTCTCTCACAAATGTCATGCGCCATACATCTAAATTCAGCCTCGGCACTACTCCGTGCTACAACACTTTACTTTTTACTTCGCCAAGTGGCTAAATTTCCACCAACAAAAGTGTAATAACTCGATGTTGATCGCCGGTCAGCCATGCTTCCTACCCAATCAGCATCGGTGTAAACTTCTATCCGAACATGATCACTTTTTTTAACATCAGCCCCTTTCCAAGTGTCCCTTTAAGATATCGTAGTATTCTATATGCAGCATCAAAGTGTTCTTTGCCCGGAGCATGCATAAATTGACTTACCATGCTCACGACAAATGCAATATCGAACGAGCGTGTGATAAGTAAATAGGCTTACCAACTAGACACTCGAAACATCTCTCTTTCAATCACATTTTCAACGATGAATCGAGCTCGGCTTTAAATTAGCTTCAATTGGAGTCTCGTACGCTTTAAATCCCAAAAGGCCAGTTTCATTAAGTAAATCAAAAATATATTTTCTTTGATTTACAAATATACCTTCTCTTGATCTTGCAAACTCCATACCTAAAAAGTATTTCAACACTCCTAGGTCTTTAATTTCAAACTCCTCGACTAATCTTTTCTTTAGCATTGATAATTCATCAAGATCACTCGTCAAAATCATATCATCAACATATACAATTAAAATTACAATCTTGCCCTTATCATAATGTTTAAAGAACATAGTATGATTAGCTTGACTTTGGCAATATCCATAGCCCTTTACCACCTTCCCAAAACGTTCAAACCACGCTCCGAGAGACTCGTTTAAGACCATAAAAAGACTTCTTAAGTTTGCACACTTTATTTCAGCCAATAGTACTTTCAAAACTTGGAGGAAGGCACATGAATACTTCTTTCAAGTTACCATTCAAAAAAGCATTCTTTACGTCTAGTTGTTGTAGAGGCTAGTTAAAATTAGTTGCAAGAGACAATAACACACGAATGGAGTTAATTTTTGCTACTGGAGCAAAAGTTTCTTAGTAATCAATACCATAAGTTTAAGTAAACCCCTTAGCAACAAGTCTTGCTTTGTATCTTTCTACACTTCCATCCGCCTTGTGTTTTACAATAAACACCCATTTACACCCCACTATTTTCTAATCTTTTGATGATTCCACAGTCTCCCAAGTCCCATTCTTTTTTAGTGCATCAATCTCCTCAAAAGCTGCTAATTTTCACTTTGGATCATCAAGTGCTTCCTGAATGTTTCTCGAGATAAACAAGTTAGAAATTTTTGATACAAATGCCTTATGTTTGTAAGAGATCCTATCACATGACAGATACTTTACAATGGGATGATTAGTACAAGAACGAGTTCCTTTCCTAATGGCTATAGGTATATCCAAATTATTAAATTCTGTTTCAATAGAAGTATTAGGAATAGGAGGAGAATCAATAGAAGGAGATGAAAGCCGAGGAGAATCGACATTACCAAAACCTAGATTCGGAACATTAGATTAGCTTGGTGGTGCTTCGGGTATAGATGATTCTCGACTTTTTGAATGAATTTTCTTTCTTGTATAAACAATAACCTCGAGCTTATATTCCTTAGAATTATTTGGTAGCGTTTTTCCTCCCGTCAAAGATTCCTCAATACTTGGCGTAATAGGATTAGGAGGTATAACTTTAGATAAAATATGCTGAATATCCCAACTATTTTCTTCATCTAGTTTCTCCCCTCGAAGAAAATTATTTCAAAAATAGGACCGATGTTCAAGAAACACAACATTCATAGTAACAACAATTTTGCGAGTTAATGGGTGAAAACATTTATATCCTTTCTTATTTGCCGCATAACCAACAAAAACATATTTTTCAGCTCGAGGATAAAGTTTCGATCGATCCTTCGAGGGATAAAAATATAAGTCTGTGCAACCAAAAACTTTAAGAGGTAAGTGGGAAAAAATCCGATGATCGGGAAAAAAATGTTTGAAACACTCTAGAGATGTAATGTAATTCAAAACACGAGTAGGCATCCTATTAATTAAATATGATGCAGTTTAAATAGCTTCACCCCATAGATATTTAGGAATATGCATAGAAAACATTAGTACACGGACAACTTCTAGTAAATGTCAATTTTTTCTTTCAACAATGTCATTTTGTTGTGGTGTATCAACACAGGTAGATTGATGTTGAATAACCTTTTCTTTGAAGAAGCTACCAAGATTATTATTAAAATATTCATTGCCATTATCGGTATGCAAAATTCCAATTTTTGTATGAAATTGTGTTTCAACCATTGCAAAAAAAACTTTGGAATAAAGTTTGAATTTCAGATTTATCATTCATTAAATATACCAAACATAATCGAGTATAATCATCAATAAACGTCACAAACCATCTTTTTCCAAAACAAGTTCGAATTCTTGAAGACCCCCAAACATCATTATGAATTAGGTAAAAAGGCCGAGAAGGCTGATATGGTTTTGAATAATAGATATTTTTGTGACCTTTCGATTAAATGCAATGTTCACAATGAAAATTAGAACTATCCGTTCCATGAAATCAAGTAGGAAACAATTTCTTAAGATACGAAAAACTAGGACGTCCTAATCTATAATGCTAAAGCATTATTTCATCCTTACTAGGAGTAGAACGAACACTACCGAAGCCCCGAGGCATTTTATTTTTGGAATCTTCATCTTCAAAGTAGTAGAGACCATCTATTATCCTAGCACCGTCAATCTTCCTCCCCGAATTCCGGTCTTGGAAAACACAATAGGAATCAAAGAAAGTAATATGACAATTAGAATCTTTGGATATTTTACTAACGGATAGCAGATTGCAAACAAGTTTACGAACATGAAGAACAGATTTAAGAGAAGGTTTTTGTTAATTTGACCAAACCTTTGCCTCGCTATAGAAAAATAAGATCATCTCGCTATACGAATTTTTTCTTGTCTAGAACAAGGATTAAATGTATGAAATAGATTGAAAAAAGTAGTCATCCGGTTAGATGCTCCCGAATCTATTATCTAAGGAGCGGATTGCGAAAGAGAATAACAAACCAAGACATTTAAATCACTACCTGTTTGTGCAAGAGAAGCATTAAGAGTACTCGATAATGCAAGCATTAGATTTTAACAGACTTGAGAATATGATCCCTTTGTCGAGGACCGAATGTGACAACTTCAGCTTCATGTGCAATGGGAACACTCATTCAACCAGGTTGCTAGTTAAACTTCCCCTCATGCTTGCCTTTCCAATTAGTTGGTTTACCATGAAGTTTCCAAGCATGTTTCACGGGTGTGTCTTGGCTTATTACAATGATCACACCATACACGAGTCTTCTCATGGTTGCTAGCATAGACTTCACCAGCGACCAAAGCAGAATTCTCAAGAATGCTACTTAAAGTCTTCTTGCCAAGCATGACAAGTCCGCAACTCTCTTCCCGACAAACTTCGGAAAAACTTCACCAATAGAGGGAAGGAGTTGTCTAGCAATTATCCTCCCCTTAACTTCATCAAATTCAACATTCAAACCAATGAGAAACTTGAAGATCCGATCATCTTCAACCTTCTTTTTATAGTAGTTGCAATCATCGGAAGATTTTCACTCATGAGTATTGAAAAAATCTAAATCTCGACATAATCGTTTCGGTGAATTGAAGTATATGGTAACACTCGTTTTTGCCTTGACGAATATCTCCAAGTTTTAACATTAGTTCATAGACTTGGGACCGATTTCCCAAATCCGAATACATAAGATTGACATTGTCCCAAAGCAACTTAGCTGTGTGATAACACATGTAGTTGGAGCTAATATCTTCCTCCATGGAGTTTACCAACCATGTCATTACCATAAAGTTTTCGACATCCCATGTGGGGTATGTCCGATCATCAACGGCGAGTTCTTTCTTATCTCCGGTAATGTAGATAATTTTCCCTCTACCTCGAATATACATGCGCACGGATTGGGACCAGCGTAGGAAATTATCTCCATTCAACCAAATATGAGTTATTTGGATTGAATGAGATTCGGAGGAAAGCAAGGCTGGAGTTTTTTTCTGAATGGCTGAAGTAGATGAAGAAGGATTATTTGCTCGTGGAGTCAAATTCAATTTCAGACATGGAGTTGTGGTTGCTTACTTGCGGCTAGGTTGGATGAGGAAGTTGTGTATAGGTTAAACGGCCGGGGTTTTTTTAGGTTTGCTCGATACCATGTAGAAAAATATGAAAGAAGAGAATAATAGTTGTATTTGCCGTATTGGACTCAAAGTGTTACATCCTACATATATAGTAAATAAACTAGCCTATTTAGGAAGTATTAGCTGTATAAAGAGACAGAATTCCCTAACTTAGGTAACATACAAACTTTCTATATTTACACCATAAACTACTCTATTCTTAATTATTTCCTTTCAACATTTTAATTACACTTCACATGTATTAGGGAGTCGATTAGGCAATAGCCTTTTATGTTTGTATTATGTTTTAAGACTTCTCTATTATATAAAGAGGAGATGGAAATTGAATAAGATATCGAAAAGAATTATAACCAAAAGGTTTAGGAGCGTTTGGGAGGTCTATTAAAGACAAACCTCTATTGTTATTCTCAAAATAGATATATCTAGGAAAGGCAAGAATCGAAGCAAGGGAATAAGCGAGGATTTCCCTGTACATCGACCTGTGACGCGATCAGTTCCTCAAGACCATAACAATGATCTCTAGAATATTACAAGAAACAGCCTCAGTGCAAAGGTAGCCATGCCAACAAACTCTGTTGGATAGCTTTTGGCAACCACATAACTGTTTACAATGAAACTGTATCAGAAACATGCATACCTCCTCTATAATCCTAAAAACTTCAACTATTGATGCTGCCTGTCTCTGATGATATGATAAAGGCTCCCAATCCTGCATGTGCCCATCAAAAAACATGGCTCAATAATTCTCCCCAACATTTATTTACATACAAGTTCAAAATATTTCTAAAAAAGGGAATTCACATAAAAAGGAACATCGACATGGGATGCCTAAAATCATTCCATGGAATCAGTTTTCATGGTTAAAACTAGTTAAAAATGAAATAGATCTTCCGACTTCCTCGACTCACTGTCAGCAATGGTAGCCTATCATTCAATCACCAATTCTCAAATCAGAACCCAACCCAATATGTAAATTACCAAACAAAGAAAATAATAAAAGGATAAATGTACTTAAGACCCTAATTTCTACAATCACGACGACTCCAACAAAAACATTCTTTCCATCATTTTAATACCAGTCTAGTTGAGTCTCATTTGTTTTCCTTCTCATTCTTTTCTCAGAAAATCAATACAAATACAGATTCTGGAGAAAATCTCTCTACAGAATATCAAACATGGAAAATTTTCAATCCAATCCAGTTTTCAAATCCATGTTCGAGTCTTTCACTGAATGTAACAAATACATCCTCACAGTTATCTTATACAGATCTCTCAAAATGTTGTTCTGTATCTCCACCAACCACCATTTGCAATTATTTCAATTCATCAATAAGATATCATGCTTAAAATAACACATTATTTACTCTTCCAAGCCCTCTTCCTATCTCTTCTTCCTCCTCTTCCTTCTAGTTTTAGATTGATGTGGACAATATGGATACCATCTACCAAATTACAATCCAATTTTCATATAACATCTTTGTATGTAGTATCAAACTAACCTCAATATCAAAAGCACGTTCTGCCCATTCCAAGATATGTGCATGCTGAGATATCACCCAATCAAGAATGAATGGTTTCGAAATTTCTCCAATCTGTGCACAAACGAAAGGGCAATAAAAATGTGACATTGTATCCAATTAGACTAAAGTGCACATAACATCGCATAAAAAAGTTACATAACAATGCAAGCCGAACTAAGAACATGCTCTCAACTGATTTCAATTTTTAACTCCAAGGCGCATTCATGTTGAACAATGATGATCAACATTGTCAGTTTTATGGACTATACAAAGTTCAGACGAAGAAAAAAATCTACTCTATGTCAGCAAATTTCTGCACCATGCAATTAACGGCACGCCATTATTCATCCACACTGAACAAAATCCAGTGCCACGAATGATGGGGCATGATTTAAGCACCACATCTTCTGATGCCCACATCATTTCCTAAACAGGACATGTACCCCATTAAATATCTTTCATCCAATCCATTACACCATAGATTGGCACAAGGATGGCAAATCAATAGAGATATAAAAATAACTACACCTTGTGCATGAGGCCCATCCACAGTGCAAAATCATTGTAATGAAGAAATGCAATATCAAGACACTAAGGTTATTAGTTAAGCATACAGTAACCTGATAAAGTTCAAAATCTTGATTGAAAGAATTAGGCAACTTATCGGCTTCCAAAGCAGAAGTATATAGCTGAGTCAGGTACCGATCCAACATATAAGCAGCTGGAAGCACTGATCTAGCATCTCCAGAAAAAGATGACACTCCCTTGAGGAAAGGTTTCTGCATAATGACAATAGAAGGTAGAATTTGAAAAAGTATACCAGCTGCAACTATAATGAAATGACTTCAAAAAATAAAACAAACACAAACCAGTCTTTCTCCATAATATTGGTGCAATAGCACAACTGATACAGTCAAAGATTCAGGGCACCAGCAATGTAAAACTGGGTGAAACAAATTGAACTCTGCCTCAGCAATCGACTTCAGTTCTTTAGCAAGATGAGCCAGAGGATGTATCCTTCCTATTTGAGATTCAAAATCCACCTTACTTGCTACCTGACAACATAAACAATGTCACTTGGTCCAAATCTATGAAGTAGAAGGTGATTACTAAAAAATTTAAGATTAATATATAACTTCAAGTAATATTTTCTACCCAAATGAGCATGGAATGAAAGCAGGTACAGTACATGAAATCATAAGCAAGACTGACCTTCCTAATTGCAGCTTCAGCGGACCTTTTCACATAAGATTTAAGTTTTCTAGAAGCATTAGCGTCCAAAGCATTTAATTTTGTCAGCTGCAGACATGAAAGCTTTTCGTATGAGCATAGTCAAGGCTAGCCCTGTCCTGTCTATGATATCAGCAAAACTAGATTCAACCATGGTTTGCCATAGAATGAAACATCCTACAAGAATCTGATGACAGCAACAAAAAGTTACGTTCTTTTTTCATGCACAAAGCTTTTCTTCAAGAACAACTAGGAGGGGTAAGGAAGGTAAAGAAGACCGATTTACAGCTATTTCAAGAGTTAGCAGATAGAGGGTTGGCAAAAACTTCCTCTTTCAGCCAGGATTACAAACAACTGGAAAAGTCAGCTCCTAATCCAACCAAATATGGTCTTGGGATCAGTAATCAGGTCCAATAAGATAAGGGGGATGCTCTGAATTCTGGGAAGATATCATCCCCAAGACTCTGGGGATAAAAATCCAGTAAAACAAAAAGAAGGCAGACTCGAAGATCAGTAAAATAATTAGGGGAGACAAGGAAAGGTTTCCAACAATTTATAGAGAACCAATTATTTGAATCAGTAAACAACAAAAGAAAGTAGAATTATTAATGTGGATGCAACATAGAAAGCACCAAATTTAAAAGGTCTTAATAACATCTAAGGCAATAAAGTTAAATCATTCAACAACCAAATGCCGATACATATAGTTCCCACTGCAGCAATTTCTCACCTTCAAGTCACCAGATTCGTCAGAAGCCAGAACCCCTACTGCTGATACCAAGGTCATTATAATTTGAAAGTTAGAAGGTTTCTGAAATAAAACAGCAATATCCTTTAGCGAGAAAATATAGTATTAGGGTCAGATTTACATGTTATAACAAGAAGTTCCATAAATATAACAACTTTAAGGAAGTTCATAAAAGTGAATCAGAGACCAAGTTATCACATTGCTCCAAAAAATGTACTGTAAAAGTAAAACAGAAGGGCTCAATTGCACTCTATTCCTTCATGGATCTAATCTATCACCAAAAAAAAAAACCAAAGGCGAATCAAAGACCAAGTGATCACATCAGTCCAAAAAAGGCATTATAAAAATAAAACAGAAGGGCTTAATTGCACTTATTCCATCACAGAGCTAATCCAAAGTCCTTAGAAACCACAGGTAACTTTGACAATTTAATTCCTTGTAATTAGCAGAAAAATATTTATGCATATTTTATGATTTTGAGCCTTCCCAAATTTGGATGCTTAAGCATATGCAGGCTTATATCCTCCCCTCATCCACACACACACCTGGCCTGCACCCCAGAGAGAAGATTGAGCCCTTCCCAAGAAATACATCAGCCTTGCAAAAGCACATATGGGTTGCATATTAATCACATCAGTTGCAGAAATGAATAAAGATCAAGCGATCTTTTCTTCCAATCTCATAGCTAATCATCACATTACACCCAACTTATAGCCATGCACTAACAAGATGACAAAAGAGATCTACACTTAAGCACTTCCAAGTCCTTAAAGGCCTCATAATCATTCATGATTGAGCAACAAAATCCCATGGCAGTACTTCTACCATAGATGATGATATTCATAAATACTTCTATTAAATCAATTGATAATTTTTCTTATTCATAGATAATGATTTTTGGATGTTTACAAGTTGGAATACGTTCAAAGTATTTTTTGTTGGTAATTTTGACATTCTGTGATCACAACAAACAGGACTTTTGACAATTTGAGTTCAGTGAGAATTGACGAATTCAAGGTGAGAGAAAATTTCTATATCTTCTGAGAGCCAGCATTGTTTTAAGAGAAACATTGCAGCATATGGTCATGTGAGACTGAATTGAAAACTTCAAGTGACAAAAAGGGGAAGAGACCAACTTTTAGCATAACAACTTGGGCAAGACCACAGTACTTGAAAAGGTACATGTTTCAATTCAAAATTTGTGGGGAAATACTTAAGAGCTTTGGAACTAGGGTATAAATATTCGCAAAGCCAGAAGAAAATAGATTCAGGACCAGCAATCCAATGGTCAAAATGACACAGCAAAATTATTGAAGGTTTGCAACTAACCTGACTGAAATGTAAATGATAATCCTGCAGTTTATCATCACACCACATGCTTATTGAGACAAAAATAGCCTGCAATAGATGCAACTTCAAGTGGCTGCCATTGCATTGCCTTGTACATACTAGGCTATTCATATACTGCTCCTTCCCATCATCTTCTTCAGTAGATAGGACTTTCTGCAACTGAAGAACGGCATTTTCTAATAGCACACTCCCACCTGTTCTAACAAACTTCAATATGAAATTTGTATTACAATGAATGCAAAATGAAATCATGTCTATACTAAAGCATGTTTTCACTATCATAGACAGTTACAGTTGAGTAAACTTCATAGTGAAAGATTGAATAAGAACTGTGTAATGGTAATTACTACTGAGGGACAATAATAGTGGAATATGTTACTCCCCTAAATCTGAAATTCAGTAAGAAGTAAATGCTGCAGAGCAATCCAAGAATCGATTGATTACCATAATGAGAAGCAGCTGATGTGTCACAAAACCAAAGAGAAAGTTCCAGTAGAAATATCACGTGTCAAATTTTTTATATATCATGTAAAAATAGTTCTGTAGTGTTTTCGCATCAATTGCCCAAGACTATAACACCAGAAAAGATACTGTTCATTCAAATAAAATTGAAGAATACAGCTGCATAATATAAAGTATCACTTTATATTGATCTTTTATTGTGCAATGTACCTGTTGAAAAAGGGCCCAGCCATATAATGCATCATGAATTTTTTCAGTAATGCCCAAAGCAGACCAAGTTAATTTTATACACAGCAGCATTTCATCAGCTTCCTGATAAAATCAAGAGCAGCAAAAGTTAGAATTGGCAAAAATAAGACAAAATGTCATCACAAAAGTTGCTTAACTGAATTCAGGCAATAAAGAATCTACCTCTATGAGCTGATCTTCATCAAGAACATCAAATAACCCAAATAGTAATTTTTTATAAAGTCTAATGTTCAAGTGATAGCTGGCAGTCCAATAGAAGGTTTCACCTTGAATACCAATTTTTGTAGGCAAAGATGATAGTTTTAGAGCCACCTGTCTAATAGATGCTACAACTGCAACACGTTCAGAAGCTGACATAATGGTATCCCATTCCTACAAACCAAGTAGATGAAAAATCAGAAAAATTCAAAGCAACACATTTATTCAGTAGTCAGAATTTATGTGCTTCCAATGTCAAAAGACCACCATACCTTCTCATCTCTGATTTTTGCAACATAGCTTCTGATGGTTAGATGTTCAGTTGTTGTAGCAGTAGCAGTAGCAGCAGAACATAGAAGTTCTTCTAAAATGTTTGCCTACAAAAAATAAAGCAAACACCACAGTAATTTCAAAGCTTAAAGAACACCAGATTTTTTTGGGTCCAACCAAATGATAAGCCAAATAATAAGTTCAGAATATGGATAAAAACTACAGAAAACATCATAACATAGAGTCCAGTGTCATATTCCATGCACTTGCTTGTATAAAGGATTTGAACATTCCAAGTAAATTCAGCACAACTATGGACACAACTCCATTAGGTCCATACACATTATGCAGAAAACTGGCATCACACACAAGGGCCTACCTGCTTGTGTGTTAATCTGTTGCTTTCATGGTGTAAATTTAAACAATAGAAAATCCCCAGTTAATTCACAAATTAGGAATTAGGAGGACAATGAAGTTCCTCTAGCAACATTTCTACAGGGAGGGAATTGACAATGGAGTCAATACTTAAAGTTGATCATTACCTGCCTACTCTTCCATTGCATATATGATCTTTCATTAAGAAAATCAGACTTGAAAGTTCCATTCAAAAGCCCAAGTGCAATATGGGTAAGATCAATTTGTCCACTCAATTTCCTTGCTCCCAACTGCATCAAATTCCGCCTAGTGCATGCATCCATTGCTTCTGAAATCTAGTAAAGAAGCACGATTTACTCCAGCGATTTAACCAGCAATTAACCATTTACAGAAAGCACAAGTAAGCAACAAAATGCCTATCAGCTGGTAATTCATAATTGATTAAAAACAAGACTTGGATATTATAATTAGCCACCTCAAAAGCATCAATCCTGACAAGCGATGATACTAGATTAAAGGAACATTTACTGATTTCTCAATTCCTCCTCCCTCTTTCTTTCTCCTTCTTTCTTTATGTCTTTCTTCTTTTTTCTTTTTTTTTTTTATACCCTTAAGGGGTGAGGGAATCGTGAGTGAGAATAACTTCTAAAGGGTAGTTTTCGATTTAATATTATGAACCTCAATATAGAGATTACATAGGCTAAAAGATAGTAATTAGAACTCAGCATAAGAAAACTTAGTTGCCTAAAAACAAAGTAATACCGATCTCATGACCTCACCATATGAATTAATGCTCTAATGCGACTGATTAAGTTGAGATCTATGACCTGTGTCTTTATCCAACATCTAGAGGATACACTTCGTTGTCAGATAATTTTTACAGCGTAAATGCAGACTTAAAATTCCAAAGTATATTTACCATGTCAATACATCTACATGCATTGTAGGTCACACATTAACTATATTACAAATAAGTGTTGAGACATGATGATGTTAGAATACCAGATCTAAACAAACAATATTTGCTCTTGAACTCACTTAGAAGCATTGAGTTAAAGACTATTTGTATCACGAAAAAATTTCCATATTAGATATTATAAAGTGATTGCATATAACACAATCCTATAACTTGCCTGCATCTGAACACGGACAGTTTCCATCAGTTCTGACTTTCTTCCTAAAGACTGAGATTGTGATCGCATTTTATCCCTTTTACCCTTCAACCCTGACAAAAATTTAGAAGTCTTTTCCTTCCTCCTATCCTCAACTGAATTTGCTTCGACCCTAATATAGAAAGAAAGCAAATAAGAAATGAGAAAGAAACTGTGAGAAACAAAGGTGCTAAGTCCACAATAAACGAAGCATAGGAGATGCTAATGTGCGCATGAGTGTAAAAATGCAAGACATAAACACTAACAAGACATGCACGAGCACAGGCAAAGGCAATCACGGGGAGAGAAAGTACCCAGACAAAAACATAGATGCAAGCAAAAGTTCGTAAGCTGATTCCCGCAAGTCATCATCAGACAATCCTTCAAAAAACCTGAGATTATGTATCAGTGTACTCAAGACACTATGAAAATACATTTGTTATATGAATTGAAACAGAGAACGAGTTGACAAAAATTGAAACCTAACTGCAAGCATTCTTTTTCCTAACATAATTTCCACCTATAATCGACAAAATGCAAAACCTAAACTATCCAAACAATACCTGTCTTTAGGCTAGGTAATCCAAGTGAAAGAATTGTAAATTCTGAATTCCCTAAAGGCCTAGTAGGTCCATTTGTCCCCGGTTCATATCTAGGACTGTAGTCATCCCCAGACGTAGAAGCCTTCTCAACATGTAAATAATCCATCTGACTTGATGAACGTGATGCATCAGTGGTTTGTTTCACATACAGTGGAGGTGGTGCACGCCTAGGAGGAGACCCAGCTGAATCTGGATCAGAAACAAGAAAATAGGAGCTCCTCGTTTGAGAATGTATCTGCAACTAAAAAGAAACGAAATGTTATTATAGCTTCCGAGAATTAATTATGACAAAGAATGAACAAATAAATAATTCAAAATTTTAAACTTCATATCAAATTTCTTTCCATTTTGATGATTAGCAGAATAATTAGCATTTATAATTTTCATTTCCGAGCCAAAGGTCACGACAATATCTTTTACACAGTAAATAACAAAAAAAAAATCGACATTAAATGAACTCGGGTGCATAATCTCTTAAATTACAGAGACAGGATAAGCCGATTCATCCAAGTACTTCTTAGTCGCTTCAGCAACATCAAGGACTCCGCCTGATAACAACAAAAACAAGAGAGCGGTAATTCATTCTTAAATTTTTTTTAATTTGCCTCGGCTTTCTCGGCAACCAAACAGGAACAGAAATGGAAAGTAAGAATACCTGATTTAACGCAGTGGAGGATATAATCGGCGCTAAGAGAATCGAAATTGAGATTGGACAGCGAATTAGTAGGACCAGATGGAGTACGGAGCTCTTTAATCAAACCTGACGATAAAAGAAATTCTAACAGCTTTCGGCGATCGCGGCGGTAGTGTTGTAACAGCGTAGCTCGCTGCTCCATTTTATGCGTACACGAGGACGAGTAGTCCGAAATTGTGAACGCTTTAGAGAGGTTAGGTTATGAGTAGTGGAGTAGTGTTATGGCTAGGCTAGCTGTGTAAGAAGAGTGGGAACTGGAGAGACAGAGATTGAAGTAGTGTGTGCGTGCTTTTTCTTTTCTTTTTTTTCAATAAAGAGAAAGGGGATATTTCGAGGAGCGCGAAAAGACGACGGTAAAAAGACATTTGTACCTTTCGCAGTCTGGAAGAAGATGCTTCTGCATTTCCCTTAATTTTTTTATTTTTAAATCTAATTATCTTTTACACTTTAAGTCCGTAAAAACGAAAAAGATTGCCTGCGCTCCGCTCGCCGTGAGCCCTCATTCTCAAAATCACTTTATGTTGAGGCTGTCATAAATTTGTAATTGATGATAAACTTGGTTCATATGATGAATACTACATGTCATTTAGCGATGATAACTAGTTTTTTTTACTCCCATTACACTACAAGTTGGATAAAATATATAAAATTATTTAAAAATTTTATTTTAATTTGATAGTCCGTATTATAATATAAATTTATAAAAACATATGAAATCAAGGTAAAAAAAATTATTTATGATTTTTAATCAAAATTTTGTATTTAACTATTTCTTTTTGTGTTTTTCATATTTTTCTCGTTAGAAAAACATTATCCTTGTTAATCCATGGATTATTAACTAAAAAAAATTAAATAAAAAGCTTTGAAAAAAATTTAGTATTTCATAAGATTGTGTTGAAAAACTAAAGTAACAATTAAAAAAAAACTACCTTTTTGTTGATTTTTTGCTAACGTTGATAGTAGATAACATGTCAAATAAATAGGATATACAAATTTCATAACTACCTTTTTGTTGTCACATTCAATGACAATATATTCACCCCACTAATAGCGAGGATGATTGAAAAGGTGATTAGTGTTTATATTTAAAGTGTCCGAAATAGCATCAAATGAAATCTAGCCTTGGTCAATCAATGAGCAAACATACTTCTTGAATCCTAGACAATTTTTTATATTATGATGAATTATATCATCTTGATTCTCACAAGATTCATTGGGACTATACCACTTAGAAAATAGAGGTTGTTGTAAAGTAGTTGTCACAAGAGTTACTTGTTTGGTAGAAGAGATGATAGTATTTTCTTGTATTTTCTACGACTCGTATTTTCTTGGCTATCTCGATTGAATTATCTCTGCTAATGGTTGGGCTATCGAGGATATTTTTCTTGAAAATTTTGAGCAAAATTCTATGGTGAATGGGATTGATTTAATAGATAACTCAAACTAAAGGTAGATTCTCCAATATGATGAACATTGGTTTCTTTACCAAAGTTGTTCTTCTTTAACCTGCATTCAAAAGAATTAGCTATTCATCCGATCTTGATTACTTGTTCAATCCAATTAGCCATATAAATTATCTCAAAAAGTCTGTTTGATCCATTACTCAATAAGTAATTATAGTAGGGTGCTTTGAAGGTATCCGTAAAAAAGAGTAATGAGCTCTTTCTCAAGTAGAGGTGGACGGACTCAAAAAGCTATTTCGCACCATCGCTGGATATATTCTCTCATAGATTCTTTCAAGTCTTTCTTCATAGACTATAGGCTTGACTTATTGAGAGTTACTTCCATATTGAACTTATACTTTTCGATGAATACTTTAATTAATTCCTCCATTTTTTAGCTTTGTTTGATTAAGATCGATGAACCAATTTAGAGTGACACCATCGAGACTTGTAGAAAAGAAATGAATTATAAGCTTTTCATCATAAGCAATTTTGATCATCTTAGTTAAGTAAATACTAAGATGAGTTTTTGGACATTGACCATCGAAAGGTGGCACGAGTAATTGCCACTCGAGTAGTGGGTATCGGTATGATAATGAACACCATAGAGACGATAAATGATCGACCCATTCTTTGATTTAGAGGCATTTTAGTAATCGTGCGGACTAACGGACTTTGCTAAACTAAAACAACTTGCCTAGACACTTTTGCTTTTAAAGCACTTATCTTTTTTGATGGTTTTACTCAAGTTGAGCTCTTTCTTTGTTATCTATATTTGTTTTGGCTTGAGCTATTGACTTTTAGAGGAAAAATATGATTTTGATAGGATGAATTATGCTTCTCTAGGTAAAATAATAAACACGGTAATATAAATAATATTGACATAAAATAAAGATATTTGTGATTGGATATAGAGTAGTCATCTATGGAGGGTGACAAAAGAGTTATTTCCTTTTGATTTCTTCACTCACGAGATTGCTTGTAATAGATTTAAAGATACCATTATTTACCTTAGTAACCTTTTTTATATTTTGACTAATGCTTGCTTGAACTAAGTTTGAACTCTTTTATCATCCACCTTGAAACATAATGACCAAGTTATCTTAGTCAAGGTTTCAAATACGTCCGACTTATTTAGTTTATTTAATCATGAAATGATAGTCCTAAAGTTCGATTCTAACCACTATATGAATAGGTTGTCTTTATTTAAATCTCGAAAAGGTACCTTTCAACTTGGTAAATCTTTAGTAGAATTACTAGGACTCGTCTACGATAACATTAGCAATCATGAAAATCATCGATCACCAATCACTCATGGCGGCTAGTAAAAAGGCTATAGGTTTCATAAGTGTTTACCCGAAGCAAAACCCACGAGGCACCACCACTAACTCCCTAGATCCTAAAACAAATGCAAATAGTAGTTATAATTATGCAATGATATGTGTGGGACATTACTCTAACCCAATCTTAGAAATTAAAACCAAAAAGCTGTAATTAAAAAGTTATAAGAAGAAGACAAAACATAAACAATGCACTTATACATAAACATGTTTTCACAACATAAAAACGAGATAAATAATTTAGTGACAATTACTCATTTAAAATATATAGGAATAAAAATATAATAAATAATTAAAGATTTATTAACACAAACATTCAAAATTTAACCCTAGTATGGCATGTCCCTAGTGAAGTCATCAATTTTATTGACGGGGCTTGTGAGGTGCATAAAAATAAAAGTCACCACCTAGCCAATCAAGGAGAAATAGAAAATCCTAAACATAGTGGTCATACAAAAATATATAGATAAAGGGTCGATTACATATGGAAAAGATATAACATTACCGTCATCCCATTCTACCCGAGGTAAGTCGCATTATTTACATGTAAAAATAAAAATCTGATTTTATTATGTTATTTTTCTATGTCTATTTAAGTGAATTTATTTTATCAAGATGGAATAGTAGAGTAATTTATGATTTAGGTTGGTCCGAGGCCAATACTCATAGTTAAAAGGGAAAGGTGGAGAAAATTGAAATTTTAACTAATCTTTAGTGAATTGAAAAGTAAGTGAGTTTCTAAAGATTGTTAGCCTTTTATTAACATGAGTAATGATTCACTAACAACCTCACTCACATAAGTGAGAAACCATCGACAACTTTGAGTCATAGATTTAAAAAGTTAAAGATAAATTTATCACATAAATAGAAAGCCACCGACAACTTCATTCACTCAAGTAAGAGCGAGATAACTAGTTTGGAAGGCATCAATAATTTCATCAAATAAGTGGAAAGCCATCGATGGTTTGGTTTCGGATAGGCGAGATAATAGATAAAATAACTTTGAAACCATTAAAAGTTTCGTCACATAAGTGAGAAACCACCGACATTTTTTGTTTCAACAATTTAAAAATTAAGTAAAACTAGTTTGGAGCCGATAGCGACTTCATCTATATAAGTGAGAAGCCACTCGGTAGCTTCATTTTGGCGAACAAAAAACAAACAATTCATTAGAAACTATATATGGCTTTGACCATATAAGTAAAAAGCCAACGACGATTACATTTTGGCTAACGGACGGCATGCAAAAATCTTAAGCATAATCGGACGAGCATTTGACAACACAACCAATCACAACACAACATAACATTTACATCATTCATTTATCATTTTAAACAATCCGGATAAGTTCAAAAGTTATCCAAATGTCGTGAAATGTTACGAGTTCCTCTCTTGGATCAATTTTACTTCCTTCAATCTTGATGAAGGCTAATTATTTTAGTCACCGTAGAAGTAGAAAGCAACTATTTATTGATGTTGAAAAAATTATTATACGATGGTTGAGATGCCTCTAGTTAATTGTGAAATGACCAAAATGACCATATATATAAAATTACAAAAATGCCATTTGTGTTGTGTTACATGAGTTGCCAATGTCTAGCCGTCATTGGGTCGTTACTCCGACCGGATCCAAGTATGTGGAAGGGCTCATAAATGGAGAGAGGCCTCGCTCTACCTATCTATGGTGGTGGCAATAGTCGTCAATATTGGAGGAGGGAGATCGGTGGCTCCAAAGTCTCGACCGAATCTCCTCCTCTTCTCGACAAAGATTTCGTTGATGTTATGAAATTTTGAGGGCACCAATCAACTCATAAGGTTAAAGGGAGTGTTTCGTGATGGTTAAGAGATCTAATTTGGCCTTAATCCATCGATTTTACCGAGTTATACAAAACGGATCAAAAAACAAGTCGCCATCGACTAGGCTATTTTTTGATGGCTTTTGGCCGAGAATTTAAGGGGAATCACTTTTAGGTGAAGGTTGACCAATTATGTGGTGGTGTTAGCTCGAGGTGTAGCCGAAATTAGGAGATTCGACCGAGTTGTTAAGCAAGTGGGGATATCGACCTTTTTTCCTCAATTCTCGTTAGATTCGGCAACTCCTCTTTCTCTAACTAGTCAAGAATGGTTGATTTGGGTGTGGGTTATCAATTGGTGGTGGTTGTTAGAGGCAATATTGGCCGGAGGACGATCGACTTAGGAGAATAAATTCGACAGTGTCCGGTAGGTCAACTTGCGAGTTTACGGGTAGATTTCTCTTTTGGGATTGTTTGGCTTGACTTTTTGTTTTTAGCTTTTTTTTGTTGGATGGAATATGTGGCTTGCTTAAATGGCGGAAGAGTTTAGATATTTGTAGGAAAAATTTAGGATTTTATGCAAACATTATTTTTGGTCATTATTTTTTTTAAAATTTTTTTAATTTCAATATTGATTTGTTTGGTTCTTTTCTCAATAATACCTTTCTTTTATTTCAATTAAAATCTTGGATTCTAATAATTTCAATTGCACCCTCAATTAGATTTTATTTAGTATCCACACTTTGTATTTTTTAATTGAACTTCGAGTTATTATTTTTTTGATAATTCTTTATATATATATATATATTTTTTTTTTAAATTCATATATTTAATTAAATTAATTGGAGTAGAAATTGAGTGCAAATAATTTTAATAACAATCATTGAATTCTAATGACATTCTTTGAAGAGTTGCATTCCCTTTAGAGGTCCTACAGCTTCATCAACTACAGTTACATTTTTGGAGTTTTAAATTCGAAATTGATGATCTTTCGGTACAATCTTAGAATTAATATTTGCGCGTGGAATGCAAAATACCTCGAAGAATTTACGCTCAAATTCTCAACGGCCTCATTCAATGCTTCCTCATTCATTTAAGCTGGTGGCTGCGGAAACCATGGTTTGACGGGCAAATGGGAGGACTACAAAGTCAGACCTAGGCAGCGAGCCTAGATGCCCCCCTCGTAAATACAAAGAACAAAAAGATGACGATAAGAACGAGATACTAGACTGTGAATTTGGATGGACTGCTTGGTGCCAATAAGATTTTTGGTACGGAATCTTAATTCTCGAAAAAATGCCGAGACAAATTTAGCTTCAAAAAAAGGGAATCCTACTTGGATTCGGAATCGGAGTCCTATCAAGGGACCAAACTAGAACTTATGGTTCGTTCTTTATTTTCGAGAATTGACTGACCTTCTAGTCCACTAGTTTCTTTTTGCTATTTGCAAGTAATTGAATGGAATGCTGACCTTACTCCTCCGGCGAAACGGCGTTTATAGAGACGATTAAGAAAATTCTCCTGGGCATTCCTCAGCAGGAACGGCAAACCTAGATGTCTCCCATTATTGAAGAAAACACACTAACAAGCAAGCAACACGGTGCAGATATACTCTTTTGAATTTATTCACATAACATAAACAAATAACACAGCTCGTACATTATGTTGTTCAACCAGAACCCTAAAGCACTCTCAATGTAAATCCACACAGAAAAGCCTAACAGACCAGTGTATGCAATCTTTAATGCGTTTCTGTTTACTAATAAATACGCATAATTAGCATTCCTGCGCAATCAACATTATACACATACACATTCCCAAGCCAAAACAAAAACAGAAATTTGCCCACAACCAACAGAAAAACATCTACCACAACAACAATAGAGAGAGCTCATATTGAGTCCAATGGCATCCTGTCCTTTTGAAAAGTCTTGAGCTAGAACGGTATGACAAAGTCTACAGATTTATAAATTATTTGCAATCCTTCTACACTTCCTCCCTGTCTTGGCTGGTACTTTTCAAGATATTGTACTTGCAGAGAGGACAGGTAGCATTTATATACAGCCACTTATCTACACAAGCACAATGAAAATGGTGTCCGCATGGAAGTTGCCTTAGCTCCACCCCATCCTCATAAGCAGAGAGGCAGATGCAACACTCCTACAAGTTAGCATAAGCATCATTTTAGTTATCAAGTATTCTTTAATTACGATACAAGGTGTTTCTTAATCAAAATGTGATAAATTGAATCATGATAACCACAAAAGTATCATGCATTTATTATCATCAAATGTTTCGTAAGGATAAGAAAGGCCTCAAACTAACAGAAGCTATGTTTAGTTAAGACAACGATACGATGAACATGCTTTAGATACTGCACGAATTCAAGTGATCATCAAACTTTACATTAAAAAGGAGGAGGAAAGAATTAAGCAACAAGCAAGAGTTGAAATAGGTACCGCATCCTCTGCCGAAAGAACATGTTCGATTGGAGAATCTGTGCTGCATTCAGTCATTATTCCTCCAAAACATCCTTGTTCATCACCAGCAAGCTTATCATTATCACCATCCCTTCGAAATTTGAATTTCGGGAGTTGGTCAATGTCTTCTTTGGTTGCTCCTTCCTGCTTTAACAGAGTTGCACAAAAGATGGACGAGACAAAATAAGAGATAACTCAAAGTGCATTACCCATGTTTGATAATAGCTTATCTGCATGTTATCATTATAACCCACTACAACACTTCAAGATATCAAATCCAAAAATGTGACTAAAGCCCAAGAAAGTATTACACCATGCCTTGACGGAACTTAGGGCAATACCCGCAGAAATAAAGCTGTCTAGTCCTCAAAATTAATCTTCAGCCAATCCTCCCATCTCCAACAAAAATCTTACTTCCAAAGTTTATCTAATCCTTTCAGTCTAAATGATCCTATCAAAGAACTAAGAACTCTGACTCCATACAGTCAAGATTTCATGTTCAATCAGTAACTCATGTATCCAATGCTGCACCCTCAAACTGCATTATGATGAGTAAGGTATTTAGCCATGAAGACATCAACCTTCTGATCTATGGAACAGTAATATTCCTATTCAAATAACAAATCATCTAACACCACAAGTTTGCCTCTATAATGGCTTTTACTGCTCTGAGATATTCTTCTAAAGCAAATATCTATATGATTTTGAGCCCCAAACCTCTCCACAAGCCCAAATTCAATTCACTGTCAATCATGAATATGTAAGATATAACCACTTTGCAACCATAATATGGAAAGACTATAGAAGCTTGAAAAAAAATGCATCCCACCAAGAGGGAAAATAATTCCAAACCATTTTCACAAAATTGGCATGATTCTGCACCAAGTCAAAGTCTTCTGACATCTCATTAGAACATGGGCAAAACTTCCAAAAGCCCATTGCATTGCTTGATAATGCATTTTCTAAACTAAACAAAATATATAAAGCACACACTCAAAAACTACTTCGGCATTGAGCATCATAACTCCATGAAAACAACAAGCCTTTCTCTACCACGAGCTATGGACATCAACTTTACCCTCACAGATCATCTTTGATTGCTAAGTCATATTCCAGGACATTAAGATGAACAGCACCTTAAACAGGAGGTACAAGACACTATTATAGCAATACAAAACCAATGAACGAACATAGGTGTAGATATGAGGGACTACCTGGTCAGTAACAGCATATAAGATTGCAATAATACAAGGAAGACAGCAGCACACAGCAATGCCAATGACACATGCCAGAGCAACACAAAAAACGACAAAGAACACGTCGAAACCAAGAAAAACTATACATAACCTGCCAAAAAAAAGGCACACTGGAGAAGGTAAGAGACTGGAGTAAAGCAATGCTTTCTCAAACCATAGGAAAAAAGGAAGGGGAGAGAAGGAACAAACCAGTAGAGCTGGGGAGAGCCTCGTGCCAAAGCTTGGCCACCAGCAGACACCCAGTAGAAACCAATGATCCACCAGATAAATGAAAACATCGTGTTTGCAGATTCCAGATGCTTCGCAACACTACTGATAGAATTACAAACAATGAGCACGAGACTTAAATTCCACAAATTTCATTTGCCATAAAACACCAACACACGGCATGAAAATCCAGCACGTCCCAGTTTCATAGCGGATTAGCAAAACAATAACTAACAATTCAAAGAAAAAAGGAACTAAAGTGAGGCCAGTACTTACACACACACACATATTAAGATGAAAAGGATGAAAATAATAAATTGCATGCCAAATGATGATTAAAAACTCTTACTTTTAATGGAGAAAGGAAAACACATTCGACTGAACCTATTTGAGGCTCACTTAATCCTATCCTATAACCAAACTAACAAAAAGAGATCCATAACAGAATTTCATCTTTCGTTTTAACTTACTAAACTGCATCATCACAAGAACAGCCTCAACAGCATAACAACCCCCACCCCACCCTGTGGCAAATCAGGAATAATCAAATATGTAATATTTTTTAAAACCCTTCGAATAAAATGTCAAAGAAGCAACACAACACAAGTTTTCGAATCATAAATTTCACATTCACTTCGTCAAAGACGCCTAAAATCTCAAACATGCAGCAGATACCTAAAACTTACCTAGTTCCGTCATCTTCTAACTGAGCCAAACTAACATAGTCTCCGTAATCACCTCTCGAACCGGAACTCGAATTCCCATCACTCCCAATCCCACCATCTCCTCCTCCTCCAAACGCAACTCTCCTCCTTCTTCTCCTCCTATACTCCATACAAACACAAACCATGTGCAACACGCACTGCAAGCCATACCCTAAAATCCACAACCTCAACGGCATACCCGGATTCTCCTTCCTGCTCAAAATCAAAACCCCCACCGCCACTGCCACAAACGCAAAGTTCCAAATGATATCCAAAATCACCACAGGCTTCGAATACGCCCAATCACTCTGCCTCTCCTCCAGCTGCTCCGCCGCCGTCTCACGAACCAACATCGATGGCTCCCTCATCATACGGCGGCTGCTTGCACGGCGTAGAAACCTCGCAGCGTCGCGGAGGGATTGACGGCGGATGGATCGGCGGCTAGAGTTGGAATTTGATTCATTTTGTGGTCCAGATGAAAGAAGCGGTGTCGTGTCGATTATGTCATCGGAGGATCCGGTTCGGGTCGGGGTTGTTGTGGTGGGGGAAATTGGTGTGGTTGTGGAGGACATTTTTGGGTTTTTAATTGTTTCGGAATTCTTTTATTGTTTCTTTCAAGCCATAGACGATAAGGGGTTTTTCATTTTTTGTTTTAGATTGAAGGAAGTTGGTTAAGATTGTTCTGTTTTTTTTATGGGATTTTTGAGGATCGGTGGTTGCTCGTTCTGTTATTGAGATTGTTTGTGGTTTTTGTTATCGTTGGTTCTGATATGGAAGTGGAAGTTTAGATGATGCGCGTAGCAGAAATGGAAAAAGGTCTTTCTCTTTTTCGTGTGTATTAATTTGGTGATTTTTGTACGGTAACATTAATCAGATTTGCGTTGTAATAATTGATTTCTCGCGCAGCAAGCTATGATGCGGCGGAAGAACGGAAACCTCAAATAAACCCCTAGCAGATTAACTAGTTCTCAACTTCATCCCAAGACAAAACCTGTTATCAATTGGGTCCTAATATTTTAAGCAAATAATTTTATGAAATTTTAAATCTAAAAAATAAATTAAATAGCTTTCATCTCATTGTGAAAGCAATTAACCAACTTATCATCTTTCAAATTGGATATATCTTCTTTTTCTTCAACGAGTCTTCTTAAAAGGTATTTGATTGTTTAAAATCCAATAAACAAAATAGAAAAAAAAAAAAACTATGTTAAGTTTAAACAACAATTGTTGATTATTTTGTGTCACCCTTATTTGAGAAGACTTTGAAATAAAAAGTTAAAAAATGATTAAAAGGCAATCTATCTTTTAAATTACGAATTAAACGACTAAAACTATTAAACAACGTTATCATATTGTTGATCTTAAAGATATTTAAACATTCAAAATGAAAAATAATTACTACATGCACTAGAATATAATGGCCTAAAAATCCTTCACAAAATTTTTTAACTTGTCGAGGATATTTGGGTTGCAAGGTTGACGAGCGAGTATGTTGTAATTGGAATAACTAGAAATTGATACTTTGAGCACTTATGCTAGTCCATAATCAAAATACTTAAACTGATTTGAACACAATTAAATTCACAAAGATGCGAATTAAAGAGTGTAGTATTTGAAGAGAAAATAGAACTCTTAGGAATTAACTCAACTTTTTTTTAAAAAAATGATAATGACTTCACACACGCAAGAACTTATAAACATAGGAAAAGATGAGCAATCACTAATTGGAATTTTGAACATTGAAGATGGGATCCGCATGTACTACAACGATTATAGAAATCGAACCAAGAAAGAACTATCAATATATAATTACTACTTACTTTTATCATCTACTAATTACCGTCTATAAACTATAGTCTACCGTGTTTCAAGTGTTGAAACAATTTGAAAGAAGATGCTTTGTGAACTCATAATTTGCAAGCATATTATTGTTGTTTGTGTTTCTTGTGTGTTTTTGTCATATTATCGTTGGTATTTATTGCTTTTACATCCTCATATATTTTTCTATACTAGGCTACATTCCTAAGTTGCATCATCTCATAAATTTTTATCTTGAGTCGTAATGGTCTATATTTGTCTTAGGTTGCAATGCTCCATGTCTTCTAGTATTTTCACTCATTCGTTGTAATGTTCGACGTCTCTTATACATTTTTGGATTGATTCCCTAGTCGTTTGAGTCAATTGCTCATCTCCTTTCATTCTTATTAGTTTTTCTTTTTGAATAGGACTTGGTTTCACACGTCTTTTAACCATGATGCAATTTCGTTTAGAGTCCATTATGCATAGGTTTTATTGTTTCTTCTAATATGATATCCCTTTTTCATATAATTCGGGCTTTATTCGTAGGTGGATCGAAAACTTTTCTTGGTAGATTTTATATATTTAATGATATTGGGCACAATAGCCGACTTTTATAGCTTATAGAGTGGGTTTATGACTAAAACCTTATCGAGTTTTCTTAATTTGTTAGGTTGCTAAGCTCCAATCAAATTTGGAGGTAACATCTGTTCCCTTTTTTGTGCATGGAATTTTTTCTCACTTGTTAAAAATGACTTCTTTAGTGTCCGTTTATGTGACTCTTTTTAGTTCTTAAAGTTACAACGAATACTTAGAATCATACATCCTTGTAATCTCTTTAACAATTAATTAAACCATACTACTATTTAATCTTGTCATATTAATATGAGGAAAGTTTCAATTCTTGTTTCATTATTGAGTCTACCATTATTTAGTAGTAAACCTTTTTTATTCCTATTTTCTCAATTCTAGGGTTTTTCTATTCTTTTTTTTAAACTCTCGCTTGCATTATGCTTTCATAACTTTTAATAAGTCTCGCTTCTAAGTCTAAAGCTCGGATCTTCTTTCTCTTTTCAATTCATATCTAGCATCGCTTTGCAATTAGATCATCATTTTAGATATACCCCTTTCCGAGCACTCTTCACTAGTCCAATATGCCTCACTATCTCTATGTAATGAGGTTTTTTATGCCTTTATGATTTTAATGCTCAACCTCACTTTTTAGACCCTTTTCCATTTTCGGGCTATAAGTATAAGTATGTTATTCTTGAGGCATGAGAACTTTTGAGGTGTTTGGTTCCTAATAAGAAGGTTGTGATTCTTTGTTGATCGGTAGCTTCTCGAAAAGTGACATGATATTATTTCTCTAGTTATTCCAAACAACTAACTAGCACATGGCCCATTGCTTGAACCCGAAATTCAAACCTTGTATTTATGTTTAAAGGGCCATTTTCGTATTAAAAAAAATGATGAATTATGAGGGTTGTCTGAAGTATTTGACCTCACCATGTACAACATCCCTAATCCAAATATTCTTCTTCTTGGTGTTGTTATTAGCTTATGAGATACTGCAATAATTATATCAACACAATAAAAGGACCTATAGGTATCACTTTAGAAGACGGGGTGTCTCTTATTAGCAGTTATTTGGTAAGAGTAGACCTCTACCATATTATGCCATCCACTGTGTATGATGCCACCTTTAAAGCTTAATTTCCAAAGGTGGTGTTGAATGTCAAGTCATACCTCCTTTATACCCGGGCTTTGTTGTCTTCCGAAACTATTGATGCTATAGATTTGGGTTTCTATTTGCTTTAGCTCTATAAGTATGCCATTTATTATAAGAGCGATACTATGAGTGTAAAGTATCTATCAATGGCTCGCTATTATGCTTTGGCATAGTGAGCTTACAAAATTAGCACTTTTTGGTTTGCTTATGCTAATCATGACCTATTTTTAGCCATTTTTAAAATCTTTTTATCATAATTCTCCTTGCCTTTTATGGCTGGTTGTATTATAGGGCACTCGCCTATGTAACGGTCGAGACTCTCGCACATGATATATGTATATGTGTGTGTGTGTGTGTATGTATGTGTGTGTAATTTACATGATGTTCTATGCTTATGTTTGCTTTATACTTACGTTGTCAAAAATAGGGGTGTTATGACATACCGTTTATGTCCATAAAACTACTATGTCGTGACATGTAATTTTTGTTGACGATTTTTATGTCTTGTTATATGTTTCATTATAGATTGCTATGCGTCTGCTTGTCCTTAATATTATATATATTGCTTATATGTGAACTTATAGAAACCCTAAAGTGATTCATGCTTAATCAAGGAGCTTGATTGAATTAATTGAACAAGTGAGAGAGGGCTTATTTTACCTTGAGTTAGTGTAAAAATGAGTGTCACCACCTAGGCTTGCATGGATGAGTTGGCTAGGGAGGTGTCACCACTTAGGATTTTTAGCCATTTCTTCATACGTAGTTTAGCACTATAAATAGGTGAAAGTTTATTTTGGCTAAGGTTTTGGCCATTTTATTCTTACAAAGTAAAAACATATACGAGAGATCTTGGAGGGGAGCTAGCTAAGGGGAAAGAAGTTTTGGGCAATTAGCCAAGAGCTAGGACATGAGGCAAAGTGAAGTTCTTGAAGATCTCGAAGTGTTTCCTTTCATCTCTAACTTATCCAAATAAGTGTAACTCTCACCTACATCACAAGACCTAATATGTATGAATTCTATTGATGAGGAATTATGAACATCCCTTTTGAATTGTTATGTTTTGGGTGAATTCTTATCGAATTGATGGATAATTGTTTAATGCTCTATTTTGAATGACTTATCCTTAATTTTTGTAAGTATGATGAGGCATGTTGATTGGCTAGCTTGTATGAATTCTTGTCGAATTGATGGATAAATGCTTAGTAAAAAAATTTTTGTAGCTTTTATGAATTCTTACCGAATTGATAGATATATACTTGGTTCCTAAATTTTCTCGACTTATGTGAATTCTTGTCAAATTGGTAAACAATTGGTTGGTGCCTAAAGTTTTATGGCTTGTATGAATTCTTGTCAAATTAATAAACAATTGCTTGGTACTAAAATTTGTGGGATGAATTCATGTTGAATTAAGATTGAACTTCTTGAACTCATAACGGGGAATTGATATTAGATTTCATGAACTCATGTTTTAATCAAGCAAAGAGATTAAGGGCATGTTCATAGAGAGGCCATCAACGGGAATGATCTAGTATATACCTAGGGTTGGATCTTGACTAGACTATATCTAGTTTATTATATTTTCCTCAAGGTTTTAAAAGAAAACCAAATCGGACATTTATTAGGGTATGTTTGAAAGACAAAAAAGGATTTTTGTCTCGAAAAACATGTTTAACTAACTCATACATGGTAAAACTTATTGAGCCTTGGCTCATGGTTTGTGGCTCATGGCATAGATGATCATAACAAGGCTTAGAGCTTGTTTCCACATTGGAAGTGCTACCGGATGCATTTTAATTTTACTGAAAATGTAATATAGATATAAATTTTAAGCTCGTATGTAACCCCCATAAAAACCCTTATCCGTTACGTGACGTGTATTAGAATAATTCTATATATATGTATATTAAGAGTAAGTATAATTCTCATTTTATCATGAGAAATTAATGCTTAAAATATGTGATTTATGTTAAATTAAAGTTATTTTGCTTAAGATTAATGGTTTAATTATTAAAGAAATCAAATATGCAAAATCGGTGTTTTAAGGGC